TATTAAGGAACCTATGACCCATCACCCTGTCTGTCATCTGTTAGCGTCAGTGAACCATAGAACGATGCGTGATACTATTTGTTTTTACTTAGATCTACATATGTTACTTATAGTAGACTATAAATTGAACTTGTACAGAGTTTACTAAGCAACTTAAGGAAAATTACTTATTCCATTAAAACATCACTTATAACAGTATAATAAATATTTTTTATAAAATTCCTAATACAAAACAAGGGTACAAATACCATGATGTAATACCGTTATCGAAACCAACCGTGTTTAATTGATAAAATATTAAGCAATGAATTGTCCTTTAATAAATTTCACGGACCATGAATTGTGTGTGGGGAAATACAGATGAAAGAAATTTTCAATCTATTTTAATTCAAAAGGGGGTCGAACATTGTAGAATGAGCTAATGTACTGCAACCATAAAATTTCGCATCGTTTCCTTATATTTAGATACGTAATTTATTATTATTGCTTCATTACTTATTCTTATAAATATTAAAATGAACATTTAAAATTTTATTTCCATCATACTGAATCGAGCGTCCCTACTTGAATAACAAAATATTTCCTTCAACATTATATAACTTATATGTTTCATGCTATTGCACATTACGGCATTTTTATTTTAATGTGGCTTTCATTTTAAATGTCAAGTAATTATATATGGGTTATAAAATTTTACTGCTCAATTTTCTAAAACTCCTACTATAAGATAGGACTAAAACAAACCTCAAATTTAAACTCAGATAGGTACTTAAGACCCTAAATCAGAGTACATGTTTCTTTTGTATTATTTTCGAAAGTACAGATTCTATTTTCGTTTAATAAAATAGTATTTCACTAAAATAAAGTTACCTTTATCAAGAAAGATATAAATTCTATTTGATATTTGGTATGGGGGTGAGATGAGATAAAATTTTTCAATCAGACAACCGCCGAAAAATATTTACAGTGTAACTCGAGGCAGGGAGGAGGACAATATTGTTGAAGGATACGAGAGGAGCCCGCGGCGTCGGCACGGGCCATCCGTTTCTTTGTGCCGCGGCCGAAATAATATTGAACCCAGGGTGAAATACGATCGGCCGGGGATTCGCCAGCGAAACCGTTTTTCCGTTCCACTGAACAATAGCAACCGTTTAAGTAAGACTTGCGTTTCGCACTGAATCGAGGCGTCGATGCTTATCTCAAATAAAATTTCGTTTTACTTTAGAATTTAAAAAAGCAGTTGCTCTTTTTTATTTCTAACTAACAATGGTAAAGTGCGCCTTGTGAATCCGATACTATTACAATATTTTTGAACGAAATCTTACTGTTCAAGTTGTAAGCCATCTCCTCGAACAAGCTATTCTTGTTAAATCTATTACCGTACTAAATTTGCATTCATTTTGCATTAACATAATATATATATATAACTTCGAAACGACAACTTCGTAATAAAAGGTTATCACCGTCGCATACGAGGTTTCCGTTAGGTATGGAAATTGGAAACGTTCTCCCTTCTTGGTTCGACGTTTGGCTAATGGAAAATTGTTTATCACTAGCGGGTTTCTGCGCGTGAGCACGATTATTTACTTGCCTGTCCTTTCGGTATACGACCGGACTGTAATTGGCCGCGTATTCAATATCATTTCCATGCATTTGTAAGTAATATACTAAGGGCATTAAGATTACAATAACTTACATATATTTTATATTATATGACTCTGTGCTTCGTATCCAATTAGTTTAGGCATATTTATACACTGCTAAATGCTACTTGTATAAAAACGAGATTAAAATTTATAACATCCTTATACTTTAGAATTAATTTTATTTTTATTTGACTGTGTCTGTACGTGCTGTTACTTAATTAGGTATTCCGAATTATTTTAATATATCTGCGTCAAGTAATAATTCATAGAGCTTCCGCTGCAAGTTATATTTCCAAGAAAATTGTGTTTGCTAAATATATTCCGGTGTGACGTTCGCTAGGCACGAAGTACGAACCCTCGCCCATTCATGAATCAACTTCAGCATTACCTAACCGTACCCGAGCCGACTAAAACAAACATAGCGCTACAAGAGTTATTAATAAGAGAACCGAGTTCAATGATTCCCGGGGCTGCATCTTGATATCAAGCATGAATTAAGAACATCCAAACCCATTACCTACACTAAACTCTCACAACTTCATATTTGATTGAGTAATCCCACTTTATTTTGATACAAACATATGTTAGATAAATAGCCTACAATATTTTATAATTTTTATTACTATTCATTTAATGAATGGAATTCCTAATTGGAGAGCCATTTTGACAAATGTTTTTAATTAAATCCATGGGCGTGCTCTCAGTAACACCACCTACCAAGCATACTATTTTTACTTTTGATATTTATTAATTCGATAACTTTTATCTTGTTTTAAAACAATTTCTATCGAGCCGCACCGGTTTTCAAGTGTTACGTCAAACTTCAAATATTCCGTCTGGCAACCACATGTTTGAAAGATTGTAAAAATTAGATAAATGTATTTAATAAATAATCTTATATTTGAAATATATGGTAGTAATGAAACGTTTTATTTTTGTTGATGATTGACAGTTAATTACTACGATGTGATTTAAAAACTAAATTTTTTTTAGAACACGTTTCCTAAATCTGCTATTTTTGTGCCTGTTGGCCGTAGAGTTTTTTTTTGTTTCGTTCGGTAATGCCGAGGGCGGAAATTAGCGGAACAGGGCAACGCCATTGTTACACATTTCGTTTTAAATTGAGGGGCTTTCTTGAATTTACACCAGTGACTTGCAACGGGTGGGGGAAGTAGGGGACGGGTTCCAAATCCACTTACAAATTCACAACGATCGATATACTTACCATTTATGAATTCCCTTTGTTTAAACTCAGTTTCTTGGGCGTTTTTATTACCAAAAACAACTTATATGTCACGCTCTTCGTATAATTAGTCACTAGACCACGACATCCTCTAGAAGACTAATACAATGGATTAATATCAACAATCAAAGACTGCAATCACCATTCTATATAACTCGCCAATCTCTTGGTTATTAATGTTCCCATTCAATTCTTGTAGCTACTCATTACAGCATTATAAGACTGTGGACGTACTTGCACTCTATAATTTAGTCTATTCACAATTATGAATTAAGTATTATATTTTGAGGTTGTGTACGCAATAATGATTCATTTTTAAGCTGACTTTCAAACTTGAAATTGTTTTTAATCAAAATAACGTTATTATGAATCTATGTAGAAATGTTTGAAATACAAAAGGATGTATATGCTGGTCCCAAAAAAGTATAAACTCTGACGGCCTATACGGCAAAGTCTCAACCTATATTTAAGGGCACGATGCAATAAAAGCACATCGCTGTCGGTCCATTCCAGCACGACTGTGCAAGATAAATGGACGGTACGAAGCGGCCAAAGACGAGACGGTTTCTCACGGCCCGTGCCTGCATTTTTCTCTTTTTGTTTTATCTGGTTTCCGAGTTAGAGGTCGTCCAGACCACTTCAAAACTAGAAGTTACCGCTAGTTGTGCGATTACAACGATAAAAACTGTGCGATTGTGAAGAAGCGTGGATGTCTAACGAGTCTTCTACCTGCCGAGACAACAACAACCTATTTTTTCATTAAATACCTTTTCCTATTGACAAAAAACCTTTATGATGTTAACTATCTCGCGACTGACATTTTTGTTTATTGTATGGTAAACGCGTAAGGATCGTAATACAAGTATTCGTATATAATTTAGTCGTATAAACAGCTAGCTCTCACGTTAATTAGACGCGGTTCTCTAGCTGCACAACACCTCATTATTTACCGCTTCATTAAGAGCTCACTCACGACAAGAGTCTGTCAAAATCCTAACGAACAGCCGTCCGTCCGCAACGTGAAATATCGCGGTATTCTAGAACATTCCTTGTCGTCAGCTTCGTTAATTGTCTTTTCTACTTCATTTTACTCTCTAATTGCTGATTATGAACTTTAATCATTGATAGCTAGTCTATAATTGAATTGAGCATTACAAATCTCATCTTAACTTATTCTGTTTTCCCACATATTTATATAACATAAAAAAATCTTTGCCTCATTTTAGTAACGCGCGGAAATGATGCGCTCATAGCAATAATGGTACCCATGTAGATTACGACGGCACAAAAAAGCTAATAACTATTTACGAAATGAAATCAATTTTGTTTATAGCTATATTCGGCAAACAGAATATTAGGTTTAAAACTTTTTTAAATATGTATTTCAGCATTTTGTATATACAAAACTTTAATCAGAACAATTTTTGTACACAATCAAGATAAATTTCTGCTCATGACTTAATAAGTCTGCACTCCGCATGTATCTCGAAAATTATAGTAAAGAGCTTTACAAAGTCTTTGAGAGTCTCTCTCCATTCTTGTTAAACCTGGACCAATTATTTCTGCTTTTTATTTTATAACTTAATTCTTTAGGCCCTTATAATTGCGTCAGTTGGAGAATACGTTGGACACCATATGCTTTAACCGGCTTTGAAATTTAGTCGTGACAGCACTTTGAGATAATTGATTAATGTTCTACGAGGCGGACATCTTCAAATGCTCGATTATATTTTTTGTCTCGCATCCCAGTTAATGATACGTTTTGTTTAGCTAAAACGACCATATGGTGTGGAACACAGATTTATGCAACAGATGTTATAAATAACATAACCAGTAACAGGTAGGTTATACCTGCTATAGGGAATTTCTCATTAAGGTCTTCTTAACATGAAGGGCGAAATTAAACCGTTTCTAAATGACTATAAACTATAGTTATGTGGGATTTGATATTAACAAACATGTGTCTTAAATTATTATATTCATTCAATTTGATGAATATAATAATAATTTTATTATTTCGAAAAAAATAGGAATCAATATAGTATTCCTACCACAAAAAACATCTAAACAATTTCTTACAGTTTAATTTTCATAATAATTCTTTTTCACAGAATGGGTGGAACTGGTATGACAAGCGGGATGGGTGGAGGTACTCTGGGCCACTGTCAGCTGGCAAACCAGCCCCTGGTGATGCCAGGGTTTCCATTGCGAGCCAGCCAACCGAGCCCTGTTCCAATGTACTCTCCATCAAGATTCCATATAGACAAGCGATGTCAACATCGTTGCACATGGAAATGTTTAGCCATAGCTATGATTTGCCTGTGTGTCATTCTTGCGGCCATGCTCGCCTACTTTATAGGTAAGCTACATATTTTTACTGTTATGATTAAACAGGAAATTCATCACATTCTCTTTTGTAACAATAATGATAAGTATTTTTTTTATCAATCTCAAAATGATCGTTCATATTTATTCGTAAATGATTGTTACATCAGTGATTGGTAGCAACTCATGAAATGTTTGCCTAATAACGAATAATGAATAGAAGTCAATGATTAGTTATGAAATCGTTAAATGAAACGTTATGAGTGCAGTGTTCAGTCATACGATGCGTCGATGTGAAAAGTTAATTAGAATGTGACACATAATTATGAGGTCGCTATGATTGGATAGTATAAAACGAGATGATTATTAAACAGAAATAGAAATAAAGTGCATATATAAATGCATGTGTTTGAATGTTTATACATATGTAACTTCTTTTTGACGCTAGTATACTTAAAAGGACACTTAAATTAAATAACCAAATCTACTAATATCTTTAAATATCTGTTATTTTGATATAAATCTATTATATTCTAAAGTAATGACCAAAGTAGTCAAACTTTACTTTTTTAAATAGAAAAACATGTCCTAAAATTTAAATCAACATCTATTTTGTTATCAAAATCAATAACAATAAACACAACACTTAGAATGTAAGTTTTTCCAACAATACTTGAAATCAAAAGACCAATTATAATAAAACAATGTTTGACTATTATACTTTTTCTTCTACAGAGAATATGACACAAAACAATTTTTAATTTAATTTCATGTTAACCACGTTAGGTATAACAAGGCCATATCGTATTTCATTTAATAATATATGGAACACTAACAACTTATAGCCATTTGTCAATAGAAGGGATCGTTAAAACAAAACACAATATAATATTTCTAATATTTCAACATAAAACCCCAGCGGGAAGTCAAAATCGTTAGGATGCTATTTTATTAACTAGCTCGGAATGCAGATTCCTTCTAAACATAAACATTATTCATTTCTTAACATGTTCACTGATGATTTAAATACTCTAATACATTTTTGTTCAATGAATATCGTATCATACATATGTTAAGAATTTAAGCATGGCTTAGCTTGCGTGTTCGATGCATCACAATTTTGGAGATTTATGACTCAAGAAAATCTATGTATTGTGCCAGCAGTATAAGTAAGTGAACGTAAAAGTTATTTTCTGATATTTTATTTACACAGTTTTTTGTGTGGTTGAGAAACAACAACAATCACATAAGTCAGTCATTTATAATTAATTTTATGAGTTTATTAAGACTACAAATTGAAATGAAATTATAGGTTAATATAGGTACATAGAATTCGAATTCTTGTTATAAACATTTGACAAATTTAATGAATACATTTTTAACAAACATCATAAACAATATATCGTTTTAGTATTTACATGTCATTCAAAATTCAATGGTGTCATTAATGAAATGTAGGGTCGTGAGTGACAATTAAACAAAATTGTACAAGCGCTCTTCACTTTAACACGGTCGCATTGGCAACATTCCTAATTTAATAGACTTTAATTTATATTTAATTGGAAATCAAATAACGAATTCGTTATTTTTTGAATATGCATAAAATGAACCTTTGTTTTAATAAAGGCAGCAGAATTATAATACTGAAATTTATTTTGCCGCGTTGTCATGACGCTTCTACTCGTATAACAAGTAATGAAATATGAAAAAAATTTTTTGTTGAAAATTGTAAGTTGGGTAATACTTAATTTGATTCCTCTATTAAAATAAATCTTCTTTGCTATTATCGTTATCATGTAAATAAAATAAGTTTTTAGAAACATGTTAAGGAAAATCAGTCTTTCAACTTTTATTATAATAACAACAAACTTGTAACAAAAAGTTTTTAACAATATTATATCGTACAATTTATATTTAATATACCAAGAGTGTCAGTGTTAAAACGTATTTATTGTCAACAAAAAGGTATTTATTATTATTTGAATATTCAGTAAACCCGCTATTATTCAGACAAATACATCAAAAATAAAAAAGAGTTTATCTTTGCACATTGTGTATATATTATATACTAGAACTCATATTGATTCAAGTCGTATCCAGTTGTATTTTCATTAAAAACCGAGTGAGTATGCCCCGCGGGGCGGCTTTACTCCAATAAGGGACAGATTTAATCTTTTCTGATTGGAAATTTATCCAAAAGAAATGGCGGATTATATAATGTTTCGCCTTGCGGCACTCTGACAATCTGCAACAAATAAATACTGCTATGTCTGCTTCTTTTACGAAACCATTTCTGAAAGGCTATATTAAAAACTGGCTTATCGTAAAATTTTAAATTTTAAAATACCAAGATCCGACGTTGAATGCAAATGAAAACATCAAACATAGCTTTCGCACGGAAAACAGACATCGTCCATTAGGCTTTAATCATTCTTTGTTTGGATCTCGCAACCGTAGTTCACAGAGGGATATAAAAAATAAACAAACATCAGAAAAATATAAATGATGCGTCTAACCTGAGGCAGCGTGGTGCGTGCCTCGGGCTCGCTCCCGTGCTAACGTTGTTATAAATTATGCTTGCCTCTACGTCTCGTATAATTTTACTACTGATATATCATCCAATGGCAATCTCTGCTCATATCCGTTGGGACTAATCATATTTTTTGAAAATATATTTTTGGTTCTATGATTAACCGTGACATTTTTAAAATCAAGAGATGTTTATTAAGTTTTAGCCCATTCTTTTATACTAGTAGATTTTACTGTATCATTATGCTATCAGTATTATTTATTAACACTAATACGTTTTTAAAACAACACTGAAAAATGTAAACAAAAACGTTGGCACGTTTGAGATAATCCCTTTATTATTTGGCGTGTGACACGCGGTGACAAATAACGAAATTGAACGTAGAGATAAAAATTTTCGTACTTAATAAATTTTGTGGAACAGAAACGAAGCTGAAATAATAAACAAACTGAATAAAATGTAATACAAGCGCCGTTTTTAATGTGACGATGGGAAACGGTTTTGTTATTTTTGAACGTTATTCAATCTACCGCCCGCAAGTTCTTACAATAAAATTTTATACCGCAGACACATTTAAGAGATCGCAAAAATAGCATCAAAGAAGATCCAACCGCCAGCAGTGAGATAACTACATTTAACCTACTTATTTCTTGCATCCATCCCGACTATAGAGTTTCAATCAAAACTCTTTCTTGTCATATTATGTATTTAATGTACATTTAACTTTGATTTATACTTAAGATAGAAATACATTTTATTATTATTTTTATGATAATGACTAAAGATAAATTTGTTCCCCTCATCCTATTTGTCATTAAAACATAGGTGACCCTAAAATTCATCGGGTCTCATCATAAAACTCTTTCTGACTATAATCCAGTAGCAAAAATGTACCGTATCAAATGGATATAAAAAATAATGAAATCGTTGGCAAAATGTATTGCATGATATACGAAACAATTCAGCTTGAAACTTGTCATTTATATCATAAAATACCCCGTAATATATCATTGATTCCTCTCATTTATTCAATATTTTTGGATCATTTCATCGTCTGCAATATTGTTTCAATCAATCAATATTATTTATATCGACATGTTAAAGATTTTTTATATAAAATAATTTAATAATTTAGATCAGCTTTAAATAGTTTAATAATTTAGTATCTCTTTCATTTTGAAAATAACATGTTACTTCTTTGTTATTAACTTTGCATTAAAAAAATGTAGCCTTTTTTTTTGCTTTAAAACAATTAAAAAAACATTCATTGTAGCATTTACCGCTTCTATAGCTTTAATTGAATAGAAAGAATCATCAATTTAATTTATCTACTCCATTTACTTACTTCACTTATACGTAACTGCGAAAAAATGCAATTAACATTATTTTAAAACTAGGACAATTTCCAGCATTAATAATTTATTTCTTAATTTAATTACTTTAGCTAAGTGAAATCCATTCTCTAGTGCTGTGTTTACTGAATAACAAACTCGACTTATTTATAGAATACTTTTTAAATACAGATAGTTGAATAGTTGAATGGAAGTTTTCTTTTCTCATAGAAATGAACCGGCTCTATATGTTAAAGAAGTTATCGTACTTGATCTATTCTCATTTAGATAGGCATAAAATTGTGGGGATAAGAGATAAGGAACGTGTCGCATATTGATGCGTCGGCACCCATTTTTTTAATGATACAAGTATTTTTAATTAAATAACTTATCCCTTTTGAATCACAACGTTTAGATTTTTCTTGATATTGGTGATGTAAAGATATCAAAGGAATATACCGAACCCATTACATAGTGCGTAGTGGATGTTACTTTTATGACATTGGATTTTCTAAGTTATTGGATTTAGACGGCTATCTCTAAAATCGTGCTTAATCCATCCATTAGATTAAAATATAAAGTGGCAATTTCATATATTTCATTTTTAAATACTTAAGCCTTGTAAATGCTAAAGACTACATCATAACCATCTTACATTATGCATAAAAATGTAACTGAAACAAATTAACAAATTTATTTTACGATAGAAATTTATTTAACTACCCAAATTATGATATTAACGTTCCCGATCAATAATAAGTTGTTCCTTTTAATTTTTAAACTTCAATGTATCGTACTGAAAGTGTATTTTAACCAAAGGATATCAAATAAGTTCCCCAACAATTTCATAAACTAAAAACCAGATTTAATAAAACAAATAATTAAAGCTATTCATAAATCTTATCCGGCTTTCAAATAATAATTTAGACGAAGAACACAATAAAAATATTTGTCGAACACGCCTCCCGGCGTTCCGGATATGTTGCGAATAAAAAGCATTCCGTAGTTTAATCCGACATAAATCTCTTGGTGTACAGTAGTTTTGCCGGTGTAATGAAAAAAATGTAAACCATCTGTTGCACCCTTCATTACGTCAAAGCACGATGAATGGGTACGAATATAGCTTTGTCAACTTTTTAATGTAATTGAAATTTTAAAGACCCCTAGTTTTATTTAAACGTAAGAGTAACCTAGCCTTTAACTGTAACTAAAGTAATGGCGACATGTGCAACATATGGCAATAATATTAAAAATTACAAACATGTAAATACAATAGAACACAACATTGTTAACTGATCTCACTTTTTCGTTTCTGTTGTAATATTTACTGGTCTACTCCATCTTTTGAAACGCACATACTAAGATTTTTTTCGTTTTTAGTTAATACTTAGAATTATCTGAACCATTATTAGGTACACAACTTAGTTTCATAATTTAGGAAAAACATTGTTTAAATCATATCCAAAGTTATTTTAATAAAATATGTTTCAAAATATAATTAAAACCCGTAGTCATGTTACACAAGTTTTTATAAAAATATTAAATTTGCACTCAGCGGAGATAAATTTGTTCTTGTCCGCACTTCTTAAAATAGGGCAAACGAGGCCTCGACCCTCCACGAATGTGTATCATATTTACACTAAAAAGGGACACGATGATAGACTAGTTCATATAGTAGAAAGAGATAGTTTGACGCACACGGAACAGAAGATTTATCACGTGACTAATACCGAGTCAGTGCGACGGCGCGCCTTGTCCCCAGGGACTCCATCAAACGAGTTTTCTCCCCCTTGCACGATGCAATCTATGCTGAATCGTATTACAATAAATTGTATTAACTCGAAAAATACTACAGATAGCAAACATTGTCCATCTGCACACAATCGTCCGTGCATCGCTCAGACATATTCAACGACCCTCTATTTCCTTGACGTCGTTCTGTTGCAAAAATTTATATATTTTACGAGGGATCATTGGGAAGAGACGAAACTTACCACATATCGATATATCATTTTTGTGGGCGGAAATTACGTCATCTGCGCTTGTTTACGTTCAATTCAATGTTGTTTATTAGCTTTTATTCAGAAAATAAGCACCATTTATTATATTTTACAGTGTTTTCATAATAAACAAAAGGTTTTTTTACTCTTTCATAGTTTTTTTTTTATTTAACGAACGGCTTTCGAATTTCTTTTAATTAAAGTATATGAACAGTTTCAATTCGACCCATATGCATAACAATTGCAGCTTATCTGAATTCTGCAGCGTTGGATTTAAAAATCAATATGACTTCCCACTCTTGGCCCATGAATATAAATTACTGATTTATACCCAGATTGTTGTAGCGATAAAAGTTATTGTCGCTTAGTATCGACCCCAACCCAGTTAAATTGTCCAATTCACAAGCCAAATGACCAAATGGCGTCAACGCATCGTGATGCTTATCTCCCACTGCATCTTTTAAACTGTCAAGACTCGATGATAATAAGCTAATTAGCAGTAACTTTATTTAAAAGCGATACTTTAAAATAAATAACAAAAGATACAGTCTAATATATTATTCAAACAGATCTGAAGTTCGATAATGGAGGCATTTTAACAGAATGATAAACTTATCACTGCATTTTATATTGACGATTAAAATTTTCTTTGTTGTCACAAAATATATTCCAATAGAGATGACCTACTATATTTTGACAATAACATGTTACTTTCTTTACCCCAAAATATGTATTAGCTCGAACCTATAAATTACTTAAAACATCCGGCTATTTATTTTGGGTATCCATCAACAAATTGTGGACCAATAATCAAACCTAAATGTGAGGCAATTAGTCCAATTCCGTCTCGCGTTACGTCAATTAAATCTTATGACGATTGACATATGGCTTTTATTTGAGGCAATGTAACCAGATCCTTGCCTGTGCACGCTCCAAAACAAAATAAACATTGCATCTTCAATGGCGCGTCACTAGCTCACTCGGTAGAATACATAAAACGAATGAAAAGATATGTGTATTCATCTTAGATTACAAAACAAAAGCTTGTTTTTTGTTTGTTGTTTAGAATTCATTGTTTTCAAAATAGTTTCAAGTAAAATTTGGTTAATTAAAATCTAAAACCAATGCTCAAACAATGTTTAAAACAGTGTATAGAATTCCGGCTATTGATAAATTTATTTTATGGTTGAACACTTCTCTAAATTATCTATCTGTCTCCTATCTCTAGTTTAAAAAAATTATGTAGTATAAGAACTCGTGCTCCTGTTACTTTAAAGCCGTAAAAATTATATTATTAAATTGATTAGCACGGTTTTCGATCATTAGTAACAGTCACATAATGAATAGATAGTATAAAACACGGTAGCAAGAAGTGATTGGGTGCTTTTGAGCCACCAACGTTCCTGTGTTCTTCTGGGCCGTTGCACCGAAACCAATTGGTTCGTCACACAGCCACGAAATGCGCCTCGACCATGTCTCGGTTAATTAGAAGTCGGCGGGACGTCACGACACTTACTCATAGATGCACTTCACAAACGTCACATTCTTGAATGACATTTACCATTGTGTCCTCTATTCAACGTCACTCAAAAAAGATCGATGCACTTCTGATTCAACAATAACGTTTCATTTTGACTTTTTATACCACGGATCACGTGATAACATCTTGTAACTAATTTGTATGATGGAATACCTTTTTGTATGTAAATAGAAACTCAATAACATATTTATAATATACATGTATATATTTTTAGCATTATCGTCAATTAAAAGTAATATAGACAATTCAAACTGTATTCTGGTACAAGACGTAAAGGCAGTAACCCATTCTCACGGTGTAAGAGACGCTCTTTCGACATCCTCACCATCGGACGGTATGTAATAATTAAATAAGAAAGTTTTGATCCATTTTCTCATAACAACTGTAACTAATAATTCTTACACCTTTTATAGAATCTATATCAACATCATCATTAGGAGGTTGGTCAACAACTGCGGAGGCTGCTCTTGAATCTGCAGTAATACCACAGCAAGCACAACAAGCAGCTCCGCCTCCTTGGACTCCAGCTTTAGAACTTAGAGAATTTGATGAACTACACAGTGTTACAATCCCTGCTTACCAGTTTTGGAGTTCTGAATTTCGTAACAAACAACCGGCGTTCGTGAGTCTTAACTTCACCGTTCCTTGGGGAGCTAATTTCGCTGTCTATGGTAGAAGAAACGTTGCTCCTAGTGTCACCCAATACGATTTTGTTGAATTTATCCGTGGTGGTAGAGTTGATCATAGACTACGGAAAAGGAGAAGTCTCCACGAATCAGACCCACGTGATCATGGTTTTGACGGCTTTGATTCATTGTTTAGTACATTTAGCCCATTTGATAGATGGAACCACACGATAATCAAGAGGTCTACAGATATGAGGGTTAATGTCAGTATAATTCAATATCTCGACACGGGTAGATGGTTCATATCGATATATAATGACGAACTTCAGCCACACCACGTTGAAATGATTGTGTCAGAAGCTGAAGGGGTGACAAACTCTTGCCCTGATGATTGTTCTGGTCACGGTTCTTGCTATTTAGGAAAATGTGAATGTATGGATGGTTTTGAAGGTCACGATTGTTCAAAAAGTAAGTTGAATCAATAACTTATACCATATTTAAGGTCTCAAGTCTTAAAATAAAAACAAATTACTATTTAAGGTGTATGTCCTGTTCTGTGTTCTGGACACGGTGCCTACGCTGGCGGAATTTGTCATTGTTCTGAGGGATGGAAAGGAGCTGAATGTGATGTTCCGGCTCACGATTGTGAACCAGCAGATTGTTCCGGTCGGGGGCAATGCATCGCAGGCCAATGTCAATGCAAAGCAGGATGGAAAGGAGCGAAATGTGACGAAGGTATCAATAGTTAATGTAACCCAAATTTTTGGCATAATGTATCAGAAAATATCAAATCTCATTTTTAATTAAAGAGGATTGCTTGGATCCAACGTGTGGCGGTCATGGATCTTGTGTTCGTGGTCGATGCGTATGTCGTGCTGGTTGGCGTGGGGCAGCCTGTACTGAACGTGATGCCCGTGTACAACGCTGTCTGCCCGCTTGCTCTCAAAGAGGCGTGTATGACTTAGATGCTGGTCGATGTGTTTGTGATCCCTTGTACACAGGCGACGATTGTTCTCAAGGTAATGAGACTCAAATTAAATGTAGTTAAAACATAATACATTATATAATATACATTCATTCCATACTTACAGTGGTATGTTCATTGGATTGCGGACCTCACGGTGTTTGTGCTGAAGGAGTATGTCGTTGTGATGATGGGTGGACCGGTTCATTGTGTGACCAACGACCATGCGATATTCGTTGTCATGAACATGGTCAATGCAAAAACGGTACTTGTGTTTGCACACAAGGTTGGAATAGTAAACATTGTACCTTACGTAAGTATTGTTACTTTTAAAATTTGAGAATAACTTAATAATCCTATGAATATGTTTTTGTTATATGCACAATACCTTAGTAGGGAAAGTGTCCTCATAGGAAATAATATTAGTAATAAGGCTTAAGAGATTGTGAACGTAAGCAGTTTTTTTCTCGTGATGTCCTAATTCTTATCACAATGTGTAGCCGGTTGTCCAAACGGTTGCTCTCGACACGGTCAATGCCTGCTGGAGGAAGGGGTCTACCGATGTTCGTGTGCAGATGGCTGGGCTGGCACAGATTGTTCCATTGAGTTGGAACTATCCTGCAACGACAATGAAGACAATGACGAAGGTACCATTTCAGTTATAATCTTTAAGATATGTCAGACTTACCGAAGTGCCAGCATAAGTAGTACAAACGTGCATATGACAATCGACCTACCATTTTGAAGATGGCATGACGGACTGCTCGGACTCTGAATGCTGCAGCCGCCCAGAATGTTCTGAGCACATTATGTGCTTAGCTTCCAATGACCCTGTTGAAGTATTACTTCGTAAGCAGCCTCCATCCGTCACAGCTTCTTTCTATCAACGTGTCAAATTTCTTATTGAAGAAAACTCTGTACAGAGTTACGCGCACATGGACGAATATTCTGAAAGGTAAGTGAACTCAGTTTTTATACGAATATAGGCATTGTTAACACCAAATCACTTCATGTGTGAAAGATATTGCCAATATTGATTCAGGTTATTTCAATTTCTGCTGCAATATCTTTTACCTGTTAGTTAGGAACTGTAAGATTAATCTGTCGGTTTTGCACAGTTATAAGTAATATTTTGCACTTAACGATATTAGTAGCTCTGTAATATCATTGCCATACAATGTAAATCCGTGATATTGAAACAAAACCTATAATGACATCTTGTATTAAGGAAATAGCACACCTACCCTTAAATCCTTTTCATCTTCCTGAGCCCCTCCTAGGATTTGGTGTGGTTTTAATTTTATATGAAATATGTTATATATTAGTTTTTCACATCTGGTGGAAGTGTTTTGATTTTCCTATTTTTTTATCTAAACAAAATTATTTTATTAGTTATTTGTAATCCCAGCATGGATTTTTATAAAAAAAGAAATTATAACTTTTTTTTAATCGTTATGTTTTCACACCAGATCCGATGTGTTGTGTATTGTCTAATGTTTATCCCTTGTGTGTGTCTTACCCTACCTGTTTGTCTAACAAAAAAGCGTCTTATTAAAATACTAAAATGAATATAATAACCAGTCTATTGAGCGCTCAAAAGCTTTCGAACAGTTTTGTTTGTCTTTCGTGAAGCTAATGGTCTATATTTTAATTAGATCCATCTAAATTGACTCAAATTATGATAGACTCTCAACAAGTGACAGCAATTATTAGATTCTAATCTCGTTTTACTAAGTTAATACGTTCATTCATAGGTTTCTCTCATGATCTGAGTCAGTCGAATATTAATCATTAAAAGATTCCTTCTACTTTCTCATCATTGATTTCGATACGGAATAGAACAAGAGATAAAGCCTAAGATAAATTTATACAATCACATTCAATAACAATAGAAGACAAAGCAAAACTGAATAAATAAAGTAGACAACCCACCTCGCTTTATATGCAAAAGCGCCTCAAAAGTTTGTTTGCATTAAAACACGAGCCGCTTAACTATTTTATTTGTGTTGGAAAGTCTGGAAGGGTTATATTGCGTTCTGGCATTTGTTTCATTAAGCCTAAATAAACGTGTAAGTAAAAGATATTCACATTCACCATCCAGCATGTATTTTTGTTGAGTAAATAGTGATCAACAGCTTGGTGCAACCTGCATTCTATAAATATTAAATTCTATATAGTGGTGGTGTTGTAATGCAAACGGGCTTTCATTTTTCGATTAACAAGAACATATGAAAGTTATTTTAAATCAGTCATTAAAGCAAGTGTTAAAACGCAAGGTAACCAGCGTAGACGATCGCAATCGGCCGCACCGATTGCATATCGGGGTGGGGTTGCACTGAGGGATGTAGGTATCTGTGTAGTAATCTGTCCTGTCTTTCTGTGTCCCTGTGCCGCCGTGTGTCCGCCACTCCTAGCGAGTTCTGGAATTCCTTTACACCATGGTAAGTGTCAGTCAGCCCGCCCTCGCCCCTCAGTGTTCAGTATATGTTAACCTATTCCCTTTTGTTGCAACTCCTGCATATATGTGTGATGCCGACGCCCGCCGCCTGTCTACTAACTGGCACGCGAACGGCGATACTAACGCTTTTCAATTTTTGTTTAATCCTTTGTCTGTATTCGTTTCATTCTCTATGTGTATGTAACATCTGTATGTCTGTCTTACATGTTGCTTGTGGTTGCGACAAACCTGTTCAACTATTTATTATATCACTGACAGAAGTGAACATAAATTTTATTTTGAAATACGATTTGTCGCATCCACAATTGTGTTTTTGTAATATTTGTTCTCGTCTACTGTGCTTCTAATATATGTAGCTCACATATATACTATAATATACTTACTTTTGTTACTATAAAATTTAGGAAAATCATTTACGCTTTCACGCAAAACGTTAAAACACATTCCGTAAAACGTCGGGTTGTAAAAAAAATACGTATCAAGACGCGAAAAATAACGTCTTCAGAGCTAAAATTTAGCGAACACGCAAATTAGCTTCAAATAAACTTACCCTTTTATGTGTTCCTTACCCTTTGTCTGCGTCTATCATCTGTTAACCAAACCCTTACCCTTTGCCCAAGCTCTTTATGTGTTTAGACCCTGAACCTGTAACTAATCAAAACACGACATATGAAAATACTTTGACAGCGAAACTATTGCAGCCTTGTCGACACTGTACATTTCTACCATTGCTTTCATATACCGGTAATAGATAACATTTGTTATAAGAAGTACACATTGAAATTGGTGCAATAAATATATGTTATACTTTTAAAATAAAAATGTATTACTTTTTAATGTTATTAATAATATTAATAGATCAACAATTATAAGACATGCCTGCTATCGTCATTGGAAATAAATTTTAAGCAAATTGTTGTTTCATGTCCTATGGAGTATTTTAAATATTTCTTATAAATCAAAATAGAAGAAAATTTCGAAAAAGATTTATATTTCTAAGTTATTTCTTTAGGTATAGGAACAAAATATCAAGAACTGTGAGGACACTGTAAGTATATATTATATAAGTAACATTGTAAAAAGTATACTGTAAGATATTTTATGATGATCATAACTATGCTTTTCAGGTAACTCATTCAATATAATCATTTTTTCATTAAAGATTATCAGTTCATTTCATAATAAGAAAATGTTTGACACGTTGGTAATTTCTTAGAAACTATAAAATATAAATTTTCCCTAGCAACATATCAGGAAATACATTTGTATAAAGAGTAATCATTTCAAACACTTCACTATGAATTCAACATATATGTACAAGTAAACCAAATTATATTTAGAAGAAAAGATTTAGACAGGGTGCTGAAATTGAACGAAATTATATTCACATAAGGAAAAACATTTCGTATATATTGTAAAAATAACATTTTCTATTTAACAATTTTTTCACTGTTAGTGAAAGTAGTGGATCTGACACATTATTTTTACCAAAAGCAAATTATTTATTTTCGTTTTATATTTTTATTACATTTACTTAAATGAATATAGAAATTTCATAAATCCATAAAAATTATCAACTTTATTTTTTGTTATTTTGTTTACAGCTAACCTATTCTTAGTAGCTTTGTTCTAATATATACATTTAGTATTTCATGAGGTTTGTTCCTTACGAACTTTTTGGAATTTAAAAAAATAATGACAATTTATTACACTATTGGGAATGAATACAAATATAAACTGAATCTGGCATATGTAATGTTTTATATGAGGTCCTGCTTTAAAGACTTCGATCTTCCCTCAAAGTGTGATTCTACACAAAGCCAGTCCCGATAATAATTTTGTTCGTTTTCCTTCAAAAAAATATTTTACCACATAGTCTACATTGATGTAGAAGAACGAATCGAAGTCGAAATCAATGATTTTTTAAATGATTAAATCAATAAATTTAAAAAGTAGTAGATATATTTGAAAACTTTCATCATTCTTTTGACAAATAATTAATAAAAAAGTTGTTGCAATATTTTATTAAAATTTACTAGATTCTAATGGAGAGTATAATATCAAAACTGACTAAAATCACATTAACTGAAATGTATAAAATCTGTTTTATTAGTAAATTTTAAAGATATTATTAAACTACCAATTTACAATAAGAATATACTCAATTAAAAAACTTAAGAAATTATTTTTGATGCTTCCATAAGAGTGATAGATACAATATATTATAAAGTCTATTTGATCTGAATTTGAAATTATTTCCTAAAAACAAATACATTCAAAAATTAATACGTTACAAATTAATTTTTTTTTGATATTTGCATATTTTGAATGCACCAATTTCAAGTGTCCTAAAATGGAAACTGTCATGAAACACTAAGATCCTTATAAACAACGAATTATCTGTGTGGCAGCTGTTACATGCATTATACATACATACCTATAGAGATAGTAATTTTTCCGACTACATACGAGTACATTTATAACTTATGTATATGTAAACGGAAACTTTTACTATACTTAGCTAAACCTAAACAGAGAATGTGCAATGCTAAAAGACTTCTTATTTTATTTTTCGATTTTTATTTTCATACTTCCCTCTCACAGATTTCATTGCAAGTTAAACGCAATAGCACTTTATCTCAATATTTAATGTATTGAGGGTCCACACGGCGATATGATTCAAACAGTAATTAGTTACACTATTTTTCTTATATTTTATATTAGTTAAATTTAATTCACTGTTTTCAGTTCATGTAACACGTTGAGATCATAAATAAATATTATAAATGAAAATGAACTACACATCAATAAAATGTAGTCAGTAGTTGCCGCTTTATTAGTTTTTATCGTGCAAGAATTAGTGAATAAAAATTTTATAAGGTATGGTATGTATGTCAATGTTATAAGATTACAGCGATAAAAGAGTATTTTATAATAAAATCACATAATAATAAGCTAAATCATTTCATTTAAACATATTACAAATAGTATATCTATTCGTGTTATATGAATCATGAGAATCATATCGCCGTTCGGCTGTGCTATGCTCGACTCCAACTAATTTCGGTGTGATGTACAGTCGAGTGTCGGTGATGCGGGGGCAGGTTGTATCTCCGCAAGGGCTGGGCATCATTGGCATTAGAGTCTCCGTGGATCGAGAAGCTAGATTCGGATTCACGCTTACTAGACAGGGAGGATGGTAAGTCATATTTTGATTATATTACATATATTCTATCAGTTTGAATTATAAGACTTATTTTCTGTTATACATATAAAATCTTAAAGAGTTGAACATCAATCAATCAAATTGATAACCGTTATATTAACATATGTAAATTTATTAACGGTTAAATTTGCAAACCGGTCGTTAAAGATAAGCATACAGCTTTAAAGAATAAAACTCGGGGCCAGGTGTTGTAACACGCGCCGTCGTAAAGTACGTAACACACACGTGCAGTACAAACAATTAAACTACACCTTGCACACACTCATTTATCCCTAACCTTCCACATTTTAATATCTTTTACGAGGATAATTTAACAAATTAGCATCACACCTATAAAATGAAGATACTCGTATATAAAATGTCTTTTATTGCTTCGAATCTTATACTTAGGATATTTAGAGAAAAAAATCGTTTTATAAGAAAATGAGAATATTTTCAAGGGATTATTGAGAATCTTTAACTAAAAATTATTAATATATTATTTAAAAAAAATTTATTATCTATCTACCTTTATTTGTAAAAAATATTTATAAATATTTATATATAAAAAAATGCTTTCATTCGTTTCCATTTTAAAGAAATTAATAATAAGTAGTTATCGTGTACGAATTCCTAATTGTAATGCTAAGTTTGGATTTAAATTTTCTTCATTAAAACCTTAGTTAGTCTGTTACTGTTGTGTAAATACTATAAAATAAAACACAAAAACAATCGGCATTTAAAGATATGTACGATACTTTCTATATCATATAATGTAAAATACAAATAATTTGATTTTTCTAAACACTACATAGAACATTCATTTTATATTAATCACTGTTAATTTGACAGCCCAATCTCGATATTGATTAACCATTAACCGGTAGCTAATTTCTATCATTAAACTGAAACACCTCAGTAACTAAATATTCATACGCAAATAATTATATATTTCATATGTAATAAATCTGAATTAATTATATTAATATGACTACGTATTACGTAACCCCATGATCTCCGTAACACCTGAACTTTAAAAAAAAGGTATTTCATTATCTTATTTGTTCTGTAAAGATAAATTCTCATTTATTTATCTAAGATTTAACATGAATAAACCAGAATGAAAATCAGCTTTATCTTAAACGCTCAGGCTTTCAAGTGTCATGATTACAAGTAGAATATAAAAACAGATATATTATATATTTACCTTGCTCTAAATTTCGATCATGTTGCATTGTCTGTGGTCGAAAGTTTACGAGACTAAGTGTCAATCAACATACCTTTTTCTTTCAGTTCTAGTGCTAACAAGAGAAATATTCTAACCAATCGAATTATCCTCTAAATATATTTTTAGTATAAATCTACATTTATACATGTACTATGATTATTTAGTCATATTTATCAAAGCAAGCAGCTGCAAAAAATTATAATATGAACTCATAAAACCGAAGAGAATGTCACAAACTTCAGACGATTCACAATGACTTTTTAGCTCTTTATAGGCGTCAATTCATCTCACAGAAATATAACTCAAAGAATTTTAACGTCTGCCTTTAATTTATGAAAAGTTATTATACTTTTTCTCTCGTAAAAATAAAAACTGCGAACACGTTGTTACATATACATTTTTTCTCACGATTACCACAAAAACATTCAAAATTATATGGTCTCTCATTTTATAAAATTTATGTTAAAATTATTGTTTTTTAAATTTCACTGTAAATAATTTATACGTGAAAAATAAATTCATTTGTCACTCTGGAAATTTATTGTTGAAATTTTATTTTTATTATTACCTGCCGAAACAGCTATAGTTACTTTTTATATCTGGGTGGCTCGATATTTACTTATTGGTTTTTTCACTTATAAAAGCTTATTTGATATTGTGTATGTATATTACATATATGTGTTATTTATATACGGGTACTTCATAACATTCTCAAAAAAAAAATCTTCGTTGAGCAAACAGCAAAAAAATCTAAATTTGTAACATAGACTCATCATGAAGCATCAATACCAGTATTCGTCAAATACTCACAAGAATTTGATTGATATATACAAGAAATTAAGCTTATTCTCATGTATTATTATTATCTGATAGGCAAAACATTTATAATAAGTTAATATTAATGTCTACAGTAAACGTAAATATGTTTGCTAGCTTGTACCCATGGCCAGTTTTCAGATACCGGGTGCTATTGTTAAGTAGCAATTGTACTCATTTTACTCACAGTCTAAGGTCTGATTTTCATTTATGTTGCAGGAAATATTGCAATTTTCAATGAGTACTTTTACCACACACCTTTAGGTAAAATTTTTACCAGATAATTTAAATATCGACAGCTAAAAGCACAGTCTTACAGTTTGATACTTGATTTTCAAATTTAATATTAGTAGGCTATTTAAATGTTATTTGTAAGTTTCCAGACCAATCCCAGTGGCCAAATATCCATAACGCCATAATGAAAATATTTACTATCATCTGATTATCTAAACGATTGCAGAATAATGCTAAAATCATTAGAATTGTTGTATTTTTTCATTAAAACTTATTTACTGGATTTCCTACAGCATACTTAAAAATAAGACGTCAGACTATAGGTAAAATGAATACAGTTTTTACTTACTTGTAGCACTGATACGTGAATAATTGGCCATGAATATAACCTACCAGATAAGTATGCGTTTACTGAACACAAATACTTAACTATTTTAAATATTTTGGCTATCAGAAAATAAAAATTTGTTCTGTTGGCCTTGGGATCAGGCCCTATTAGAAAGTCAAATAATAAATAAAACAGTTTTCTCCCTAAGGACATGTTACATAACTCCATTTGAATATTTTTGGTAAAGTTTGACGTGAACGTTTTCTATAAAAAAATTGATATTTTTTTTTAATTTTATCACTTTGATTTGGATATTCATGCTTCTTAATAGTTCTTATAGAAATATGGGTTTGAAAAAGACTTAAAAATATTTTCTAGATCGCGAAATGTGTCAAATGCGAGGACGATGTTTTTTCGATGTTATGTTTCATTATTCTATGTAAACAGAACCATATTCATTTTTATCAATAAATATCAAATTATTTTGGGGTCGCAGTTAAACATTCCAATCCATTTAAAAAATGATAGGACTGTTTCGATCCAGATTTATTCTAACCCTCAGTTACTCACTATGAATCTTTAATTTGCTTAAAGATGTCTATCATACAGCCATATCGAACTCATCAGTCAATTCTTATTCGTTCTGAAATGTCACCTTTTGACCTTCCGATGCATCGAGGATGATTGTGATTAAAAAATACTTAATCACACATATTTATACATATAATTGGATATTTTCGGTATAAAATTTACAAACTGCTACTCGAAGTCAAAATATTAAAGTGGTTATATATTAACTGGAGGCATGATAATAAAAATTTAATCTTACAATTTTAAATGCATATGAATAGAGCATATTTCTGTCAGAGTTAACCAAATTAGTTCTGTATCCGTAATATCTAGATTAGTTACTACTGCAATTAGGACATCTAGCAGACGATTAAACTCAATAAAATAATTCAACTGATACATGTCTCAGCCGTTTTATTGAGTCCGTGTAAAAACATATATGTACATACATTCTGGAGATTTAATAGAATCTTTATATAAAGTTTTATCCTATATAAATGTTATAAATTAAAAAAATGTGCTGTAACTTCTGTAGGCTTTGTTTGTTTTTGAAAACTCTTTTCTAAAATAACGATATCCTTTGGGTCTTCGATGTCAAAATTGTCACAAAGTTGTGAGGTCTTCTTAGAAGTTACGAATATAGTTTAGTGTAAGTTGTTTTTACCTCGTTTTTAATTTCATAAAAAACATACTTGGTCAGTTCATGATAGTTTATAAGTGTTAGGTGTTTCATAAAGAATTACAATGTTTGTAAATTTCTTTTTTGCATAATGTAATTGAGATAACCCTCCATTTGGAATTCAATTTATACTTAGTTGTTGACGTTTTAAAAAGTTTTCATTGAAATATATAACTTGAGTTGTGAAAAATAAAAATAATACGTGTGTTCTGTGTTACATAAACCAAAACTTCGATATTATTTTGTTGTTACAAATATTTGATCTTAACAACCGTCAAGTCATCGTTAATCCAAGTTACGGTAATTATACATTTTACACGTGTTAACGTTTGATGGAGTGTACATACATTAAACAATAACTATTCGGATAATTACGGAATAGCTTTACGGTATATTATTTTATTTCAATATTTATTTAGTATCACGCTACATCCATAGAAAAATATTTTACTTAAAGAAATAAAACGCAAGGTTTCATAGCATTAATCAATGAGTTACGCAGTATTTACACTTTTACATTTTTTTTTCAATACAATTCTTGTAAATTAGTAACAAACGTTGAAAATGTCAACCCACATAAATGTATATATACAAATCATATTGTGAGGATATCAATCTACATAATAAAGATGACAATGAATGGCATTTAATTGATAATAACCTAGAATTTGTTTTTAATAATATATAAAAATAAAATCTAGTTGACGGAAATAAAGAAAGAATATGTATAAAACTAGAGAAATCGAGATTTTTATAAGATTTCGAAAACGCTTTAAATATTTATTTCGGTATATAATTAGTATTTGTCTTATTTTTTTTAACATTCGTTAACAATTGTTTTTAAAAAATATATATTTTTATCCATGCTTATAATATAACTAAACAGTGTCAAATTTTAAAACACCCTACACATTCATTGTCATTTAATTATTGTACTGTCACGAGTGATGTACTTCATCTGGCAATAATACGCAAAAAATTGCCTTACATAATTTCGTAAATAGCTGACATTCTTACTGTTCAACCAATATTAAATCTAACATAACTAATTTCACCTCATGGAAACTAGCTATCAAATGAAATAAAATCCATCGAAATCTGTTAAACTATTTGAAATCCACGATGCCACCCATACACATCATCTTTAAATTTATAACACTCCACTAATTGCGTCGAAGGTTCAAACATAAAGTAATAATTCCATTTGACATCACTGTTGTAACAAAAAGGAACAATGTATTGTAATTTTATAAAACCCTTCAATCTGTAAAGGTTCGACGTTTTGGTGAACGGTGGTGGCGCGGTTACTCTCCAGTTCCAGCGATCACCATTCAAGCCTCTTAGGAAAACTGTCTTCGTGCCATGGAACCAGATAGTTGTACTTCCACCCGTCCAAATGGAGCTCAGTGATGATAACATTAAAGTACCCACACCTAGGTAAGATTTACCACAAAAAATTGTCTCTAACCTTGATTATCTCGGATTACTATTAAAGTCTCACAAAATAATTAAATTCTTGGTTAGCTAATTTGCTTGAACATTGTTTTTGATCTTGAATATTCGAGGTAATTAAATTACAGGCTACGCCGTTGAAACTTTAGGTACTAAATGTTGTAAATCCTGATAAATAGATTAAATTTCAATAGAAAATTACGTTCACAAATACAGTGTAAACTCCATATAACGACACTCGATTTAACGACAAACTCTCTAAAGCGTCGAAATCATTTGACTTTGGTTGGTTTAGCTTGTCTACCATACAATGACACACTCTATATAGCGTCACAGCCACTCTCAATAACGACAAAATTAAGTAATAAAAAGTACCCTTTAAGTTGCTAAAATTAGTAAAAAATGCGCAGCTGTGTACGTTTTTTTGTCGCTTTGTTATCCTAGCCCTCAATAAACTCCACTGTCATAATCATGCATACCAAACTTTCTAAGAAATTCGTTCTTCACCAATATGCCTCAATATCGCAAGATATGAATAAAATACGTAAAAAAATACAACAACATTACTGGTGCAGCAAAACACGTCAAACAAAAACAACAGACTTTATAACATTCTTTTTTATGTACATAAGTACTAACAGTAGTCTGAAATAAACTTTGTCTTTTTCTAATTCTGATTTTTCTTCCCTCTATTTAACGGCAACTCTCTATAACGCACTAAAATGCACGGTCCCTTCAGTGTCGTTATATAGAGTTTACACTGTATTTAATATTCTTCATTATTTATGTTGAAATTAAATTCAAAGTAGTCACTTTTTTTGAATTAACTTTTTATCAAATAAATTTACTCTTTTGAGTACTCTATTTATTTTTCACATTTTATTTAAACAACCTTTAACAAAAGAAGAACAGAAATACTATGGTTTTCTTTACTAGTGTTTTCCAAATAACCGATATAGTAATTTTTTGCAGAAAGATAATTTGGTCTTTCAAAGAGTGTAGTTTGGTTATATAAATTTATTATAATTTCAGAGCCCCAGTTGGTCTAGACTGGTCTCCAATGCCACAATGGTGGGAGGCAGATATGCCCCCTTGCACAGCTCATGATCACGAACGTCTAAGACCTGAGGTTGTGGCTATGCCTGCTCTGGCAGCACCAGCTGCTTCCTCACCAACAACCTCTACTGTCATATATCCTGAAGCTCAGGTATATATCATAGCATCATTATATAAAAACAAGCCTCGAACGTAATAAAAGTGATTAAATCTCGAAATATTGTCTTTAATATGATCTTACATTCAAACAACAGTAATGTGATAAAAATACTTGATTAATATAAGCTTGCATTTATCTAAAATAATTTTTTTAATGAATGAGATATGTACTCGTTTTTTCTATTTTATATATTGAACCAATATATGATGCGATCAGATGTACAAATAACGTACTTATTAACTTACCAGATCGTTAGCGAATCAATCGGAATACCAGGGTCATCAGTCAAACTCACCTATCGCTCGTCACAAGCGGCTGGCTACTTGTCTTGCGTACACATTCAACTGACGAGACGAGAGGTGCCCGCGTTCCTCATTCGAGTACACGTTCGAGTGGACATCGAGGGTTCTTTACACACTCACACCTATGAAGCGGACCCCGATCTCACTCACGTGTTTGCGTGGAACAAGCGCAATGTATATAAACAGAAGGTATGAACTTTTATCTTTTTTATTTTTATTCTTCTTAGTTTCTTTTAAAGGTTTTATATACCTTTTTCCCTTTTTTATTAGGTTTACGGCCAAGCTCAAGCGAAAATTTCTATTGGATATGAATACACAACATGTTTGTCTATTGTTTGGGAAACGCAAACCGCAACTCTATCCGGTTTCGATGTGGATATTTCTGATATTGGAGGATGGGGTTTGGACATTCATCATCATTACAACTTCCATGAAGGCATTCTACAAAAGGGAGATGGAGCTCTATTACACTTAAAGCAATATCCAAGAACAGTTCAGGTCAGTTAAAAATTATACCAATTGTTTATATCTTTCTAATCATTTTAAATAACTAGAATGTAAAATAAAACGTACAAATATTCTATTTTTAGGTGGTAATGGGTACTGGTTTGCAAAGGCCCCTCAACTGCCCCGATCATTGCAATGGTAAAGCTGCAGATTCCCGTCTTCTTACACCAACAGCTCTTACTTCTGGACCCGATGGATCACTATATGTTGGAGATTTTAACCTTGTTCGTCGTATTACTCCTGAAGGAATGGTTACAACTGTTTTACAATTAGAGTACGTATTGTTTACTTATAAAAGAAATACTATTTATTACTAAGTTATATATAGAATAGAAAATAAAATCATACAAAACAACAAATTATTATATTATTTTTTGTTATTTCAGAACGACACAAGTTGCATATCAATATTACATCTGCATATCTCCGGCGGATGGATATCTTTACATATCAGATTCAGAAAGACATCAAGTTAGAAGAGTACTGGTATTAGATAAAGTACGTGATCCAGCAGCAAATTCAGAAGCTGTTGTTGGCAATGGAGACCGTTGTGTACCTGGTGATGACTCTAATTGTGGTGACGAAGGACCTGCTATAAAAGCGAAGTTGGCCCACCCTAAAGGTATTGTATGATTTGTAAAACAAAATATAGTATTCATATAAAGATTCTCATCAATATTATGAAATTTTTAGGTCTTGCTATAGCAGCAGATAGAACTATGTACATCGCAGATGGAACAAATATCCGTGCTGTTGATCCAAATGGTATAATACATACACTTGTTGGTCATCACGGACATCACAATCACTGGTCACCTGTTCCTTGCCGAGGAGCCATTCAACCCTACGAAGCACAACTACAGTGGCCTACTGGTGTAGCTTTATCGCCACTAGATGGTTCACTGTATTTCATAGATGACAGAATTATATTAAAATTAACAGTTGATATGAAAATTAAAGTAGTTGCTGGACAACCATCACATTGTCGCCTTGGAAGTGATGGCAAACCGATTGCTAAACCTACTAATAGAACTAATGGAGATATAAGGGAAGATTCCACACTTGGAACTATCCAGGCTATAGCTTTCGCTCCCAGCGGTATTCTTTACATTGCAGAGTCAGATTCTAAAAAGACCAACACCATAAAGACGATTGATCCCTCTGGGAAAATTTTACATTTTGCCGGAAAATTACAAGAAAATATGAAAGAACTTAGCTGTGAATGTAATACATCGAATTCAGCAACTATTATACCTACAAACAATCGTGAAGACGTTGGAGGATGTCCTTGTAAATTAAGTGTTGCAGCTGGAGATGAACCACCAACCAATACTGAAACATTATTGTCCTCGAACGCAAAATTCCAAACAATATCTGCCCTAGCTGTAACCCCAGACGGTGTTCTTAATGTCGTTGATCAAGGTAAAGTAATGATTCATAAAAATTTTATGTCTGCCTTTTATTCATTCATAATTATGAAACATTATAAAAACATAAAATCACATATTTTCTTAGTGTGTATCTTTATTTAAAAAAAAATTTTCTCTGCAGGTTCTTTACATATTTTGGCATTAAAACATTATTTGCCAACACATGATGAAAATGGTGAATTTAGAATACCATATCCACCAACTTCAGAAGTATATGTATTTAATCGTTATGGTCAACATATAACTACGAAAGATTTAACATCAGGTAAAACCAGATATTCATTCCTGTACTCTAAAAACACAAGTTTCGGTAAATTGTCTACGGTGACGGATGCATCTGGAAACAAAATACAATTGCTAAGAGATTACAGTAATATTGTTAGTTCGATCGAAAACACGCAGGATCATAAACTTGAATTGAAAATATCGGGAATTGGATACTTGACAAAGATAACTGAGAAAGGTACTTCAGAAATAGAAATGGATTACGACGCAAATACAGGACTACTTAATAGTCGATCAGGAGTGAGTATTCAATTGGTACTAAACTGATAATTATAATAAATTCACGTCTTCATTACTAAATGTTTTTCTAATATATTTTTCATTAATTCCAGGCAAGTGATACGGTTATTTATAATTATGATGAATTGGGACGAGTAGTAAGGATCATTATGCCGTCTGGAGAGCAAGTGCATATAACTTCAGGTCTCGCAAAGAATTACGGACTGGCAGTCACTGTAGCTAATCCAACTAGCACCATCCCAGTTGGTGTAGCGAAAAAATGTGAATATGTACTACACGGACAATCCTTCAAACAAATTACTATTAATAACGGAAAACAAATTACAGAAGGTCGCATATTTACTAATAACTCCTTAATCATTGATACACCATGGTCAGGGAAATTTGAAAGCATAGCAGCTGCAAAACATCCCCTTCTTGAAGCAGCTTTGCCAATTGAAGCTGAAATGTTACACATGTGGTCCCACCAAACAACGACTTTTGGAGACAATTTAATAAACAATATGTATTCATTATATACTCTTGTAGGAGATGTAAGAAACCCACAGCAGACTCTAAATCGTGAAATTTGGGTAAACGACTCGAGAGTTCTGATTATTGAATTTGATCAATTTAAGAGTAGAGAGACGTTTTTCAATGCAGATCGAATTCCACTATTTACCATTGCTTACGATGTTGCTGGTTTGCCATTATCATTCACACCTCACGGTGCCGGCGTACCTCTTAATATCTCCTACGACAGATTCTACAGAATAAATGGGTGGAAGTGGGGCGTATCTGAGGAAACTTATAGCTATGATCCTCATGGAATGCTTTCAGAAATTACAAGTCCACAAGATGGCACAAAATTCATTTATTACAACGAAGGTAATCTAGTGTCTAAGATTACATTAGCAAGTCAAAGGAGTTTCAAATACAAATATGACAGCGATGGTGGTTTTACTCATGTCATATTACCATCCGGTACAAATCATTCATTTAGTGTCCAACCATCAATTGGATTTTTACGCGTGACGTATACACCTCCTGGCTCTCCAAGGAAATATTTGCAACATTACTCACATACCGGAGAACTCCTTCAAACTGTATTCCCAGGGGATGGTGCACGAATTATATACAGATACTTTACTACCAATAAAATATCCGAAGTAGTACATGGTGACGGACAAACTCAAATTCACTATTCAGAGAACAGTGGGTTACCATCTGAAATCCTCCATGTGGATCGTGATGTTGATTATCGTTGGGAGTCAACATATATAGGTGGTTTGCTTGTTGAAGAGCGTATTGACTATGGTGCAAAAACTGGTCTCAGTAACGCAAAAATACTATACGAGTATGATAATAACTACAGAACTATAGCAGTTCAAGGTCGCATCGGTGGTCAAACACTTATTCCACATCACATCATTTATAACAGCAAGACAGGCGCTCCAGATGTTCTAGGTCAATTTACTGTTTCTAAACAAAAATGGAATGAAGCCTCAGTGTATGATGGTATCGCTATGTTTTCTCGTATATTGAATGAACAATTTCTTGAAAGGGAGATAACAGTAAATATTCATAGAATGGAAGTGTTCAGAATGGAATTTGCATATGACAGACATGGTCGAATATCTCAAACAAGAACTCATACCAGGAATGTAGGTGTTAATACATACACCAATGTCAAGAATTACACTTGGGATTGTGACGGACAACTGACTGGTGTAGAAGCCCAAGAACCGTGGGGATTCAGGTATGATGATAATGGAAATATGCTTTCCCTGACTTACAGAGGAAATACTATTCCGATGGAATATAATGACATGGACCGCATTATTAAGTTTGGGGAGGGCCAATATCGTTATGATAGCAGAGGCCTCGTTTCTCAAAATGCTAGAGAGGAGCGTTTCCAATATAATGCGAAAGGATTACTTATAAGAGCAACTAAACGTGGAAGATTTGATGTAAAATACTATTACGATCATTTGGATAGGTATGTTATCAAGAATAAAGCAAAACGTTTTGATTTTATTCAAAAACAATTTTTTATTTATTTTTCGTATATTTTTACAGGTTATCTACAAGGAAGGACAATTTCGGAAACGTTACTCAATTCTTCTATACAAATAAAGAAAAACCTCACGAGGTCAGTCATATATATTCACCTCGAGAAAATAGATTCATGACACTTGTTTATGATGATAGAGGCCACCTTATTTATACCCAGGTAAAGAAATAAGACATATTTTACTAAAAACCCAAATGAAAATCAGTTTATCTAACAGTGTTTTCATATTTCAGGTTGCTCGTCACAAATATTATATAGCTACTGACCAATGTGGGACTCCAGTAATGGTTTTCAACCAATACGGAGAAGGAATACGAGAACTCATGAGATCACCTTACGGTCATATCGTATACGATTCTAACCCGTACCTTTATTTACCTGTAGATTATTGTGGTGGATTATTAGACAAAGTAACGTCTTTAGTACATATGGCAAATGGTAAAGTTTATGACCCTCTTATTGGACAATGGATGTCTCCACTTTGGGAAAATCTTGTTGAAAGAATACATAACCCAACGCAGCTACATTTATATAGATTTAATGGAAATGATCCAATAAATGTTAGGCCACAAAATAAGAAGCCAGCAGGTATAAAATCCATAAATAATTTATACATACGTGTATGTGAGTTAATATTAATTTGAATCTATTTTTTAAATATTTTACTACTTGTTGCAGATCATTTATCCTGGCTTAAATTATTGGGATATGATACAAGAAGTTTGGCTCCTCAACTCTACCCAGATGAACTACCAGGAGGCTCTATACTGCCCAACATACCTCATGGCCGACCAGTTTGGGGAACCGCACCCGAGGAAGGAGGTCCTGGAATACCTTCTACCATGTCATTGCTACCGACTGTAACAATTGAATCTGGATTCTTATCTCATATGTCGAACAAAAGGATAGCTGATTTCCGTAGTCTTTCTATTCCGGCAATGTCTGCATTAAAATCTGACGCCCTGAATCTAGCACCTAAACGTATCGGTTCAGACTCAGAACCTCCTTTCGGGCGTGGTATACTTATATCTCGTAATTCTAGAGGTCGCGCTGTGGTAAGCACAGTACCCTCAGCGAACGCTATATATCGAGATGTTTACACGTCCGTATTTAACAGATCTCACTTACTGCCATTTTCTTTTGTGGTTCATGGTGATCAGCAAGACGTATTCTATTTTGTCAAAGAAGATACGTGGCGCGCAGCGGATGATAAACAACAACTGAAACGGATGCAAGGAAAGCTTAATGTCACATTCCATGAAGTCGCCGAAGGAGGTCATTCTTACGCTGATGTTAAGATTCATGGTCAAACTAGTATTGTTAATTTACGTTACGGTACAACCGCGGAGAGAGAACGGCAACGTCTTCTGCACCACGCTCGCTCGTCGGCAATACGCAAGGCTTGGCATCGGGAACGCGAGGCTCTAAGGGCTGGTTTGGGTGGATCGCAGGACTGGTCGGCAGCCGAGTTGGAAGAGATTCAGAAGGCGGGATCGGCGACTGCTTATGAAGGCGAATATGTCCACGACGTGGCCCGTTATCCAGAGCTCGCTGAGGATCCATATAACGTACGCTTCGTGAAGAAGCGCACCGATCGCGCTGAACGCAGACGACGAAAGCGTGAGGACTGCCGCGCTCCCTGGTGGCTCGCCTGGGATGACCTCTGCTAGTGTTTGTCGCCATCAATATGCCAAATCGTATGAATGTAAACTTGGTGTGTGTGAACGATGACGGATGGTTGTGTCAGTGTGTTCGTAAAATATATTTTGTAAATAGTCTCTATTAATTGTTAATTGTTGATGTATGTATGTATGGTAGATGCGAATCCCTATCGCTGTGTAAATATAAAATTTTAATTTGCAGGGAGAGAATGGACCTTTTGAGAGGACTGATATAAATTAAATGTAATGTATGTATAAAATAAGACGATCTATGTGAATATGAAATATTATTTATACTTATTTATCGGTAAAAAGCTTCAATTGTGTCCAATGTTCTTATAAAATTTAGATGAAAACTATTTGAAAGAATAATAAAAAGCATACTTTTTTAACCAAATCAATGTGTTGTTTGAAATCCCTATTATCCTTACATCCTAATGAATACAAGTTTACACAATTGTTCATGCTTCAAAAAGAAAGATTTTTTAATACAGAATAGAATTAAGACATATTAGCTTTTTTAATTATAATTTTGACATTTAAAAACCAAGGTAGAATATATACGAAAAACTAGGCTTGGTACTCGCATATAATTTTTGGAAAAAATATACACAATTTGTTTCGAACAAATATTCGTATCATAAAATAGTTATAGCATGTAATGTCTTTAGTAAAGTTTTTTTTAAGAAAATATTTTACAAATTGAGAAAATAATATTTTTTGTATATTAAGTTTGAATAAAATTATAGTGTCTCAAAGGTATATATCATGGATATTCTACTGTTTATAGTACTTAATAACTCTACATGAATATAGAGCTTGGATAGACTGCATAGAAAAAAAATAAAGTGTCAAAGAAAAACGTAAAAACAATATCAGTGTGAACAAATGTATATACTATAATTGTTATAAAGTAGGTCATTTATTTATAAACATACATACACAAATAGACTTTATTATCTAAAGATCGTCGTTTTCACAGGAACATACCTACAAGTGGAATAACATAGTTTAAAGTAGCAAGACATTTGACACTTTTAATTTATCATGATGTTACAAAGACAAAACCAAAAAAAAAGGCTAAAATGGTCATAAACTTTTCACATATTTAATATCGAAATAAATGACAATTATAAAATACTATTTTATATTTTCAATTATAAAGAAAAGGTGTATTGAATCATTTTTGGTTGTTGATAATTTAATAAAATACTAATTATGAAAAATAACATCAGAAAAACAGAATTCACTTAAAACTGCTCATAAAAATATAACGTAGTCAGATTACCTTTTCAGTTTAAATTGTAACGATAATTCAACAAATGTTCCGCAAGAACAAAGGTAAAAGATTCCGGGTCTTAAGTCTTATAGTCTTGCAAAATTTGGGTAACTATTGCTGAATAAAAAAAAAATTATTTCATTATAATGGCATCAGAGTGGCTTTTATACATATATTTTGTTTGCCAGTTGTTTAGAATTCCATCATATTTCCCTACATTTCCACTAAATAACGATTCAACAAGCAAAGAAGAGTTTATTTTAGTCCATATTCAATACTGTAAAATATATAAAAAAGCATGTATACATATATATTAGCTGTGACAAGTCTAGGTATAGGTATAAATAATTAGAGGCGTTGTGTAAAAGTTATTTATTCATGTTCGTTACGTCAATCTCGGAACAACGACTCGAGTTAATTTACAATATCAATTTATACATAAATCCAAGTCAACGCATTCATATAAATTTTATTAAACAGAGTCATAAGCGTAACTTTGCTTATAACAAATTACTTTATATTTACAATGTACTACAATAAACAAAGCTGACACTGGAACTTTACACATTAGTGACGAAATTGGATTATTTGTATAAAAAAATCTTTATCTAAATTTATATACATATACAATTTATTAAGACATATACAAACGGATAAATTTAGGAGTTATTTTACAATAAAAAATCCCCTAGATATTGAGCTACATGTTCATAAACAAATGAGATCAACAATTCGCACTATTATCAAACTACCCTCAGTGGCCAACTTATTATAACAGAAACTAAATAATATTGAAGTGATTCAAAAAATAATGTTCAATACGTCAGTGATATATACATGAGAATATCTTTACAAATAAAAATTGTGCGAATGACAATATTGACAACAATAGGATAACAGAGAGTAAGCAATCTGCATTATAACAATTGGGAACTAATTGATAGTTAATATATATTTAAAAAAAAAAACTAAATAACAGCAAGAAAAGCAAATAAAAAAATATTACATGAAATAAAAGTATCAAGATGATTGGATTACAGTGAAACATATTTTTGATATTATTTAAATCCTGTCCTAAAATTTAATTGCACTAAGCATGTTGTTATAAGACACAACATAAGGGCTTTCGAGCTTGATTTTTATATAATTTAGTCAGTTGCATCTCTTAATTAGACAAATTATTACGCTCATCTAATATCCAATAAATAGCACAAAATGTTTTCAATAACACAATCTTAGGGCCCTTGCAGACGATTATTCTTCTAAATACGACCCATTTCAAAACAGCCATAGGCAAAATGAGAAAATAAGATTAAGTTTGAAATAATTTTAATATTATTAAAATTATATTTCTCTATGACTTAATTTTGCCCGCAATGCCCATAAGAATCAGAGAGACTTCGTCTTTCAAAATGTGCATTCCAATAGAACCCAGCACTAAAAAAATCCGAAATTGTTATAGTCTTCATTATAGGAAACTAGCTTTCCGACCGCAGCTTCGCCGCGTGGAGTTCGGTTATATCGCGTTTCCAAGAGAACCTTTCAAAAGTCTGGGATAAAAACTATCCTATGTTCTTTCTCAAGGTCAACTCTATCTCTGTACCGAATTTCATTAAAATCAGTTCAGTGGTTTAGGCGTGAAAGCGTAGCAGACAGACAGACAGACAGACAGAGTTACTTTCGCATTTATAATATTAGTAGGGATATGCATTCATTTTTTATTTATCAAATAAATTGCTTATAATATTATTAACCTGACTTATTATTCGAAAAAAATATACGATAAATGAAACAGATTTAATGTGATTTATGTAAGAATATTGAATTCAACTATATTGAAAATATGATCAAAAATGCATATTCCCCAATATATTGATACAATTATTTGTAAACTACCTAACTAGCGATTACTATATCAATTAGCACCGGATTGAAGTGAATATTTATAGGAATTCAGAGATGGTCGTACAAGTATTGATATAATTTTTCACATTAAACATTAGCCACAGAAAACAGCATGTACTAAATTTAAACATATTAATAGAGTTAAAAAATAACCCATATGAATGGCATCATTTGTCAAACACAACCTATACATGCAATAAAACATTGTGACATCGACTTTAAAAAATAATATCAATAGAAATAACAATATTTTTTCAATATTCAACAATACAATATTATATACATGTATATATATGTCATATGTTCAAATACTATTATAATTTACGGACACATAGAACTTTCGATGTTAAAAAATAATCACATATATCTGTTATAACTTATCAATCCCATTTACAAGTAACTCTTCAAAGTACCGTCGAATACCTACTAACTGAACACATAGCAGAACTTAATATATAAGCATCTATTATATATTTTTTTGTGATGCACAGACTATATTACATATATACATTTAATTTTATACATTGTACTTTTATCATCTTAATATTAATGACAGTTATTTTTATTAATTATTATCCAAGAAATGTTTAATACACAATCCAAGTTTAGTGTCGAATCTAATACTGTATTGGGATGACTTATACGAATTTCCCATACAAATATTCCTTTAAGTACTATTCCGCCATCATTTGAAGGCATTCCATATATTATTTACAAAACTAAAACTAATATATTTACAAACCTTAAACTACAAGATACAAATCTTTTTATCATCGGCTCATCATTTTTTTAAACTTATAATTTAGAATGTCATGAATCATGATAGCAATTAGTTAATGTCATTGAATTAAAATATTATTATGTTTCAATTATTTGTGACATAAATAGACATGATTATGTAATAATGTATGAAATAATATTAAATACATGATAAACACAGAAAAAATAAACATAAGCATTGAATATGTAAATGTCTGAAAGAAATTATTACTTAATATTACTAATATCCTGACTGAATTTCGATTTGACTCCGCTAGTCTAGCTTATTGCACGTAGAATTCCATAATAATATACAAATTCTATCTAAACTTATAATTATTTACAATTTATTTTTGCTACGTCGGCAGTATGTGGATATTTACTATGAACTGTCAGGATTTGATTTTCTTCGCACCTGATGGGCGTTCAACACTTGACTCTGTCCTTGTGTTTGGGTTATAAACTGAGTGGTGCCTGTAACAAATATTATAAACATAAATAAAAACAACAGAGATAACAACGGTGCATAAAGCTAGAATGGTCTTAGGTTTATTCTTATTGAAGTGTCTTAGTCTTCTAGTTAAAGTATGCTTAAACTCACAATGTAAATGGGTTGTAGAAATTTAAGGAGCTTTACAAAGTAACACTTACTGGATTATAAGTAAATTTAAATGGAAGGTTTGAAATTTCTTTTTTTTTCTCTCATATAAAGAAATTATCTAACAGTGTAAAGGTTTAAACTAAAGAGAAATTAGCAAATTATTACAAACTATTTGATCTTATTTATTATAGAATTTATAGGATGAAAACAAACAGACAGACGACCTGTTGACAATAAGATAAAATTTTCCATAAAAATAAGGTGAAGGAATGTTAAGAAAATAGCATTTGTCAAATATTAAGCAAATAGTAACTTCAACACCTTCTATTTATTTCCCTGTGACTGATTGTATTGATTCTGTTATAGCAAAGAAAAATTCTAACATATTATTGTGAAAACCTAAAAGGAGTAGGTTTTACACACACTTACTGGTAGAAATGGTATTGGACGCAATTATTGATGATGATTGGCCAAATTCCGTAACAATAATCCTTTCACGAATTACTTCATTGGATATTAAAATCAATAAATACATGGATAAATAAAATACTGGAGATACAATAATATGTTAAATGTTTTACACTCGGCAGTCTCATCGACAGTAGATAACCTTTGGTAATGTTCGTTATTTGGGTGACATTAACTCTCTTTTAACATGACTTAATACTACTATAAGATACTAGCTTTTGACCCGCAGCTTCGTCCGCGTGGAGTTCGGTTATATCGCGTTTCCAAGAGAACCTTTCAAAAGTCTGGGATAAAAACTATCCTATGTTCTTTCTCAAGGTCAACTCTATCTCTGTACCAAATTTCATTAAGATTAGTCCAGTGGTTTAGGCGTGAAATAACAGGCGTAACAGACAGACAGAGTTACTTTCGCATTTATAATATTAGTAGCAAAGTAAGGATTTATAATTAAATTCGAATTATAGATTCTAAGATACAAATTGAGTTTAGGTAGGTACAAAGCATTTATGCCAAAGACCGTGCAAAGTGGAGGCGTTTATGTAGGAAGGCAGACCCTGGCTAAAGCTGGGAAATTGCCAGGAAGAAGAAGAAAGCAGTACAGGTGTCTCACCGGGAGTGGATGCTATGTTGGTCATATTAGTGATATTCGTGATGTTTGTTATATTTGGCAGCGAAGGTCGCGCCGGTCGGACCAGTCTCGCTGGTCGCGGGGCTCGTACTACTTGCACCGACCCACTGCGAACTCCGCCCTTCACACCGCCGGACATCAATTGAGCTGGAATAGTACATATATTGCTATTATTAATCTTTATATATATAATTCTTCTGTAAGTGTGTATGCCACTGAACTTCTCTCAAACGACTGGGCCGATTTTGATGAATTTTTTTTGTGTGTTCAAGGGGATCTGGGAAAGCTTTAGATTCACAATTTTGGCAGCTGGACAATGTTTTTTTAATTAATTATTAATTTATTAATAGTTGTTGATACAAACATTTTTTTTGACATTAGATTTGACAACTATCTAATATGTCAATCATTCTGTCGCACTTCAAAACACGGAGACTTATGGCTTTAATAGATAAACTCCAAAAATATAAATAAAAAAAGTAACAGATATTTCTTGATTATAGGGCGATACGAAGTTCGCCGGGTCTTCTAGTCTTATATATAAAATTCTCGTGTCACAATGTTTACTTCCGTACTCCTTCGAAACGGATTCACCGAGTCTCATGAAATTTTGTGAGCTTATTGAGTAGGTATTTAATCGGCCAATATCTTTTCTTCATACCACTAAGTGATAAAGGTTGTTCCTTTTTTAATTTGGACGTAAGTCTTTCTTTTTATCTTTTTATCTTTTTATCACCAACCCTACTTTAGATATGGCAAAACAACGTGCCGGTACATTACTATAACGTTTTATTAAAACAGACAATGTGAATGTCTTAAAAAATCATTGTATTATCATTTGAGTAGTTATATTGGAACATCTGAACGTTATTCTTCTTCTACCTGGCAATTTCCCAGCTATAGTCAGGGTCTGACTTACATGTTATGAATAGTTTTGGCTATTTGTTTTTACGACCGGCCGCCTGCCTGACATCAACCCTCTTTTGGGTCTAAATAGTCTTAGAAAGTACATATGACTTGGAAAAATCACATTGGCACTTGACCGGGCCAGGATCGAACCCGCGCCCTCGGCATGAGAGGCGGGCCCTTTAACCACAAGGCCACCACTAACTTCACTTCTCTTCACTTCACTTCTTCTGAACGTTATTATCACTTAAAAAGGTTTATTTGTGACAAAATTAATATTTGCACCTACCAATAGGCAATGACAACACTGAAGGCTGATTCGTGAGTACCACAGATGTAGTCGGTGGTACTGAAACCAATAACCCGCTGGGCGCTCCCGACACGTTCAGTGATAATGATATTGGAGCAGACAGACCGGGTATCTGCACTTGGACGTTCTGCAACCCCTGAATACTTTGTAGGCCCTGCAGCGATGTTAAACTTAGACCCTGAAATGAATATATGACGATTTTGTTAGTAATGTTAAGGCTTATATATTTTCAGGAATGAAATATGATATTAGTAAAAAGAATTTGAGATTAATTATTGCTTGTTTCATAGGAAAATTGATGGTGTGATAGTTTAACACACTAACTTTTGAGCTTCTAGAGATAATAACATCAGAACTTATTGATACAAATACATATATGACTATTAGGATATTTCTTGCGGATACATTAAAAGGTGTTAAATAATCCACTCAGTAATTTACATATATTTAACTGTTAATAAATAGTTAAATTAAATAATAAATTTTGTGATAGGATTTTGTAGTCTTAATCATGTATAGCTAAATTTTAATCATAACGTATGGCATTCGAAAGCAAGATTATTTTGCTGAATGAGAGTACAAAAATGTAGAAATTAAGGACAACATTACCTTTGCCATTGAAAAACCTATCACGTGACTCACTTAGACTTAGCCATAGTAACAAAAAATACTATATCATTACATACATTATTTTTTTGTATATTTAGTGCAATCGAAAAGTAGTCTAGGCCAAATACCTGCAAATGGCAAACAGGTTGTGGCTGTGGCTGTTGTTGTGCCGTTTGTGGCGTCTGAGAGGGCGGTGTTGAGGCCGGCTCGGGACCCATCAACCTCTCTAGCAAAGCACTCTCACTACTAGACACGTTCGTTGACTCGTTCTCACGTGTGTAACCAGTCATTACCTATAAAAATTAATGTATCATTTACATTATCATTATCTTTATATATATAAAAATTTCATGTCACGTGTTTGTCCGCGATGGACTCCTAAACTACTAAACCGATTTTAAATTTGATTTGATTAATGTGCATTTTGATCCAACTTGAAAGATAGGATAGCTCACCTCTTAATTTATAGTCACAATATTATTTTATTGCAAATTATTTGTCTATTAAAGAAAATTATTTGTCACTAGAAGACCTGGCGAACTTCGTATCGCCCTATAATCAAGAAATATCTATAACGTTTTTTTATTTATATTTTTGGAGTTTTGAAGTGCGACAGAATGATTGACATATTAGTTAGTTGTCAAATCTAATGTCAAAAAAAACGTTTGTATGGGAAATAGAAAAGGGCTGTTATTATGGTTTTCCCAGTAATGAATCAATTTTTTTCAGCTTTCATACCTTCCCTGAACCTCCACGAACATTTCAAGACTAAGATAAGATAAATCCGTTCAGCTGTTCTCGAGTTTTAGCGAGACTAAGGAACAGCAATCCATTTTTATACAGGGTGACTGGTGAATTACTATCAATATTTAAGGAGAATACTCGGTACATGATTCTCATTCGAATTATGTTAAAAAAGTAGGCACTTAATTTTTGACAAAATTTCCGTATAAATAAATAAAGTGTTGACACGTTCCAAGTGTTCCAAGTGTGGACGCGGCGGCGGCGTGCTGATACAACACCACGCCCCTCACGCGTATGTGTGAGTGTGTGTGTATACCTAATCTGTAGGGTGTTCACACGATGCGTAATTAATTACATAACTTTTGGTTAACTTTACTTAGAAGTTTATAATTATATTTATGTTATATTAATTTTTATTTTGTCATATATGATCGTCAAATATCACGTCCTCAAGTATCGATAGTAATTCACCAGTCACCCTGTATATATAGAAGAAGAAGATAGAAGATAATTACAATTATCTGTTGACTGAGTTAAGTATTCAATAGATGGCGCTATGTTAAAAATACAAACGTCATATATGAGCGATTATTTAATAATAGCATAACCACCACGTGTTTCTGAGGCTAAGGTAAATTTATTTATTAAAAAAACGTATCAGATATATCTTGATTATAGGACGATACGAAGTTCACCGGGTCTTCTAGTATTAATATAGGTAATCTTTTTAAAGTGAAACTTCTTATGCGATTTCCATCAAGGTTGCGTTAAACGTCTAACACTCTTGGGGAGAAGGGATAAAAAGAGACAGAGCTAGAGGGAATGGTGCTTGAACGCATGCGGCAATCAATTGTGACTTGTAAGTAATGTTAATACAGTTTGTCTTAAAGAAACACTAAAAATTCTTTATAAATCAATTTATACCCTTTCAAGTATTCATTTATACATTACGAAATTCCACTTCTTCCTTTCACACACAATATATATTTTTTTATGAAATTAATATTTTTCGGATATACTACGCGATTTTATTTTTGATAAAAATCTACATACTTTCGACGTTTCGGCTACTTTACAGCAGATCACTGGCAGACAAGATGTGAATATCTGTCAGTTGGTCTTAAACTAACAAGTACGTGATAAAATAACAAGAATCTCACCTGTTGTGTATATGTAGGTAATGTATGACTGCCCGTCGAAGCTATGAGTCTAGCCCCTGCTATAGACACAGTTCGTGTTAGAAGTTTATGTGTGTCGCTATCACTTGTGGTGACGTGAGTCATGGCAGCCGGAGCGCTGTTCAATAAATTCAGGATGGTAGCGTTACTGCTTGTAGTGCTCACCACCGCCTTAGCAGCGTTTTGACTCGCCGCTGAAATTGATATAAATATTCGTTAATATTAAAGGCAAACAAAAATATGCCAGGATAATATGTAAAACTAAGATATAGAAAAAAATTCTTTGAAATTTGTTGACTGAACTACATGAAAAATAGTATGTAATGTTCGACTACTATTGACGTTTAAAGATGGTATGATAAGCAATGGTATTGTATTTGATGTACATCTATCTTTTCTAATAACTAACAAAATTACGATAGTTTTAGAACATACATATTTTGTTTACAAAATTTATATAATCTTGCTGTACCAACAATGATTGTGATTGTGAAAGAACCTAAAGTAGAAAGTACTTAAGCCAAAGGTATCTTGAATAACAAACATTTACAACTTCTATTTCAGCTTACCTTGCTGAAACTGTTGCGCTGAATTCATAAGACTAGTAACTAGTGCGTTGATCGCTGGATTCGTCGATCTCGCCTTAGTTATAGTCGTCTTCTGCTGATTGGTCGTTGTATTTGTATACTGTATACTCTGAACCTAAGAAATATGTTATATTTGAAAGTACTATATTTATAAATACATATATAAACAGTATATTTATAACGTCTACAGTTATTGGTACAAATAACTTGTTTCTTTGGTATACCTGTGATGTTCCCGAAGACGACATCAATGGATGCTGTATGTGTATGATAGCTGATTGCATCTTTTGAGGATTGAGAGGTTGCGGCGGATTAGTGAGCTGCTGTGCTAGCAATTGATTCGTTGACGCCTTTGAATATAATAGAATATTAATTAAATCTATATATTAGATGATAACCATTAATTATTAGCCATAATATAACCTGTGGCGAAAGCCTGGGTGTTGTTGGTGAAGGTTGCTGCTTCAATGCTTCTGTTACACCGGTCGCAGGGCCAACATTTACCACGTTGCCAACCGTGGCCACGGTGCCAACGCTGCCCACATTGCCCACTGTGCCCACACTGCCCACTGTGCCCACAACAGTGCCCACGGCTGTCACGTTCACATTGCCCACTTGTTGCAATTGTGCTTGCTGTTTAATAATAAAAGCAATCAATTAAAGTCCATTTATAAAAAGGTATTATTAATTATTAACGAACCAGTATAGGCAGCTGTCTTGCATTTGAATGGGCATTGGGTGTAGCAGCTATGGCGGAGGTTCTGGAACAGATAATTAATATAAAGCAATTTTCTTCACTTAATTTCTATTCATTTGCAAATTGGAGATGATGTAATTATATTTTTATTAAATACTTACACAACAGGCACAGTTGTGGCATGAGTCTGGACTGTGGAGTTGTTCGCTTGTGCTGTTCTTTGCTATAAAAATAATTACATATGTAAAATTGAAGGCTATAATATTCTATATTAATAACAGTATATTAATAATAATTTATTATTTACCATATCTCTCATGCCCCCTGTAAATGAAACTCTCGGTAACTGTCCAGGCACAATATGTTTTATCCGAACAGATTTTCTACCTTCCTCTGTGAAAATTTCTGTGAACTGTTGTATGTATTTGTTGGCCTGAAGTCTCGAACCTTGAAAATTTATAAAAGGATATTAATAATTGGTGTAATAGTAAGTTTTTATTTAATTTTCACGATAAACTTTATATAAAAATTTGTTATACATCACTCAGCATTTTTCATCTGCTTATCAGACTTCTTATTATGTTAATTCATCTTCAACCACCTATAGGTCATTTCAAATGTATTGAGAAGCTTATTATGTAACAAATTTTCTAATTACCTAATGAGAATCTACAGGCTGCTCCATTTTTTTCACCTTCCACGTGATCTCTATCCACATACAGTTCCCCGAGGAATTCCTGGTCGGATGGCCTCTGTAGTATGGATAGTTTGATGTGGAAGAAACCTGCTCCGGCGTGTGGGGAGGTTTTCTCAGTTTCCAAGATGTATTCTTCCACCAACTGCGGCTGGCAATCCGGTGTAGGGCGCGGACGTTCGTAGGCGCGGGCTAACCGTAAAGGGGCGTTCGGTTCAGACGGTAAGGCGAGCGGTAAGGGATCCATTTTTGGTGGTTCTATAGGTTTGAACACCTGAAAATAGTATAGAGATATTAATTAAACAAATATCAAAACAAATATCGTATCGTGTATTAGAACAATGTATGATGACAAAATTACGGATTTTTTTTTGAACACTCAGATGACGGATTATGCAATGGGTATTTTTAAAAATATTTTTTTATGTTTATGAAAAAAAAGTTCAACAATATAGACAAAAAACGATTATTTTTCATTATAAGTATGGAGAATGAATTTCATGAAAATAAACATGTATAGTTTAGCTTCATAAATATTGGCTATGTTTCTTACGACTTCTAATTACCTCTGGTGGTTTCTTTGGGAATTTCGATGTTAACCGTGTGTGTGGAACAGTTTGACGGCTGTTTTTCGCTCTCTGACGATGTATTAACTCCAACAACTCCAGACCGTGATAATGAGTGAACTGGTCCAATTTTCTTTTTCTATTAACCGACACCTACAACAATATACTCACATTAATATCTGGTTATCACACATGAGATATTGTATAATAACGTCTTTAATATGTATGACTAGCTGACCCGGCAGACTTCGTACTGCCTCAATCAAGAAATAAATTATGTCTTATTTATTTTTTTGGTGTTTACCTTTAAGCCAAAAATCTCCGTGTTTTGAAGTGCGACAAAATGATTGACATTAGTTAGTTGTCAAATCTAATGTCAAAAAATCGTTTGTATGGGAAATAAAAAAGTGCTGTTTTTAGGGTTTTCCCGGAAATTAATAAAAAATTTTCAGCTTTTAAACCTTCCCTGAACTTCCACGAACATTTCAAGACTAAGATAAGATAAATCCGTTCAGTCGTTCTCGAGTTTTAGTGAGATCAAGGAAAAGCAGTTCATTTTTATATACAGGGTGACTGGTGAATTACTATCAATATTTAAGGAGAATACTCGGTACATGATTCTCATTCGAATTATGTAAAAAAAATAGGTACTTAATTTTTAACCAAATTTCCGTAAAAATAAATAAAGTGTGTACACGTTCCAAGTGTTCCAAGTGTGGACGCGTGCGACGGCGTGCTGATACAACACTACGCCGCCGCCGCGTCTGTGTGTGTGTGTGTGTATACCTAATCTGTAGGGTGTTCACACGATGCGTAATTAATTACATAACTTTTGGTTAACTTTACTTAGAAGTTTATTAATATTTATGTTATATTAATTTTTATTTAGTCATATATGATCGTCAAATATCACGTCCTCAAATATCGATAGTAATTCACCAGTCACCCTGTATATAGATAGATAGATATATTTTGGTCATTATTTTCACAAAACTTTATAAAAATTTTTTAGTTAGTGCTATTAATTTACAACTCCCAAAATAATTTTAAAAAGTATTTCAGTGACAATAATGGTTTTTATATTATTAAATTCATATCAATCAGTTTTAATAAATAAAAAAAAATTGTTTATGTGGTTTTTGAAAAAACTACTTTTTTAGAAAGACCCAATAACAATACACTATTTAGGTTTATGTCAAAAATATATTATTTTTTATTTACATGGTATGTAGCAAAAAACATTTATGGTACATAGCAATAGTAATGAATCATTATTAAACTGTAATACCTGACGTATTACAGTCAGTGGTGACCTAGTGGTTATAGGGCCCGCCTCTCGTTGCCGAGGGCGTAGGTTCGATCCTGGCCCGGGCAAGTACCAATGTGATTTTTCCGAGTCATATGTATGTACTTTCTAAGAGTATTTAGACATCACTAATTAATGCTGATTCCCAAAAGAGGGTTGATGTCAGGCAGGCGGCCGGTCGTTAAAACAATTAGCCAAAACTATTCACAACATGTAAGGCAGACTCTGGATATAGCTGGGAAATTGCCAGGTAGAAGAAGAAGACATATATAAGTTTACCTGTGAAAATCTCCTAGCCTGACGTCGTATCCTCGGTGTATTAAACAGTCTTGGCGCAGCGTGAAGCCTGGCTGCTAATAGACCGACTGCTGGCCGAGGTTCTAGACAAAGAGGGGGCGCGGCCGCGTGTACTAACGCTGCCTCAACAGCCTCCAAAGCCCCCCGCTCTTCACCCGCCCAACCGCTACGACCGATACACATCGCATCCGTTATTATACTCTGAAAGGATTACAAACACATATCACTTTAACTTATATTCTGAAAATTATATATTAAAAAATCAAATATATACTGTTTTTGTTAGTATCAATATATATTAAGGAAAGCATTATAAACCTATATTAAATTAAGTTTTATCATTGCTACAAAACTCACCTGGTTTGTGGGTCTTAATAGCACATGGTGTGTATCACAGACAAAGTTTGGATATGCTTGTCTATAGTCTCTTATCTGAGCTATAATGCAGCCAGAGTAGAATAAACATGAGTGTTCAGATTCAAGGAGATCTAAAAGGACTACGGGCAATTCTTCATTATCTATATAACTTAATAACTCTTCTTCTTCATATGGCCAACGAGGAGTTTCTATTAAAGTTTCTTCTTGACTTGATGATGCCTAAAAAAATTTATATTAGTAAAGACTTTATATAGAAAACAATGGCATACTATACTATTACATATACATGAGGATATATTTAAAGGAGCATAAGAAAAATTAAATAAATATTACGTGATTAATGTTCAGGAATTCAAAATATGTATTAAATAAATATTATCTTTATTTAAAAAGACTTCACAGTCAAAGATAAATAAGATAATGTCTGTGAATCTATGTCTTTACCATAAAGAGTTTTTACCTAGCATAGACCTACACAATTTTTTCATAAAAAAAAAATAATTCTGTTAGAAGTAATACATGATTTTATATAATCAATAAAAATCTTTATTTGTCTTAAACCAATTAGATTTTACTAGAATTCTTTAATTAAACTATTTTTAAACCTTATACCATACCAATTCTGACTTCAGTAAGATAGAGTCAAGGTATCACAATTTATTCAAACACTTTTTTAACAACAATGGGCCAAATTTTCCCTGAACAAATCTATTACAGTGCATAAAACTAAGTCTTCTTATAATCATAGTGCTGTCTTTTGACAAACTTTTTATAGTTTATATATTTAACTGTATAAAGTTAAGGTGCCATTCCTTTACCTTACATTAAATTTAAAGACTTTTTTGGCAACTCTTGTTGGTTACAATCTTTTCCTCTATATCTACTATAAAATAAATTAGGATAATATTGTTTGGGCACTAACTCTTTAATAGGATTAACAATGTTCAATACAACTTATGCTAGTTACATACCCAACACTGAGTTTGACATTGTTTTACTGAATAAAAAGATATTTTAAGTAAAATTAAAAAATAATAAATAAAATACTATATGGCCTGAATTACTTTAAAGAAACAAATATCAACAAGAAATCACAAGGCGTCAAAATACTAAAGAATATTTACTACATTTGCAAGTTTCTATAAATATATCCATATATATAATAAAATAATAAAATATAACAAAATCAGGCAAATATGTTATTTGTTTTTTAATTGTATAATTTTTTTTATAATTTTGAATTAAAATTATCTTGTATTTTTCATCAGTGTTTCACCAATGTGTCATTTTTAACAAGTATGTAATTAGCAAATACTTAATAAATATCAAATAAGCTTACATTTGCATCCGGTGGGTTTATATTCTGAGCAGTTCCATTTATCTTAAGGGACAGTGAGTAACCCTTGTTCCCAGGATATAAATTAATTATTAATGTATTAAGATTGTATGTTGCTAGCAACTTTTCCAATAAATATGATGTTGTCTTAAGCCCTTGCTGAAATCCAATTATTATGTGATTAAAACATAAATGTACTAACATTGTATTTGTCACTTATAAATATACTTCCAAAAGAAGTAAAAAAAGGATTTGTATTATAATAACAAATATAAATAAATTAAATTATATGACATACATTGTAATTATTTTATTATAAGTAATAATTGAAAGACCAATAATAAATTTATATCAAATCCAATTTTTGATATCCAATCTACAGTTACTGTTTTTCAATGAGCAATTAATTTGGTCCCAAAAAACTTATCAAATTAATTGATTTTTCTGAGGCAATAATTTATTTTTATATTTTATTATTTTTATTAATTTATTTCTGTCACAAAACATCTGTAATATATGTAGTTATGTAAAAATTCATTTCGTTATATATTTCGCAATTGCTTATTGAGGGCAATGGTTTATATTTTAACACACTTTTATTAATAGAATAGTAGAGTTATATCTGATATAAAATTTAATATCTGTCAATATTTTTATTGACTTATCTGCAGTATCGTTATATAACATATAAATAATTATATAGACAAATAATAATTTTGCTGAAATATAACAAATATTTACTATTAAATAAAATTTATTAGTTCTGTGGTAAGAAATTTGTAATAGAATTATTTACATAGTGTAAATTAATTATAATTAATAAATTCACTTATGTTTGTATCTATTCTGTGCTCGAACACTTACATAGTTTGCTTGTGAAGTTTCATCTCTACTTAACTCGTTGTACAATTCATGTAATTTCTTAAATAAATCAAATTTTTCTGCAGTTTTTGTTGCACCACTGACAGAATTTTTCTGAAACTTCATCCTTGATTCATCAACAGTTTCCGCTAGGTGCATCTTTTCTTGGGTCCAAGTCATTTTATGATCTGAGACACTACTGTCAAAATTTGTTAGCTTTGTATTCACATGTTTAGCCCGGTTAAGTATTACCTGAAAACGTTATATAAACAAATTAAATATATATTAACATACATTATTGGTAAATAAAAGCAATCACAATTTGTAAAATTATTTAGCGAGTTACCTCTGCTTCCAATGCCGCGTGAATTAAACCATCCATAATGTCATTAATTAAAAAGAAATATATAAATGGCAGTTACGTTTTTAATTATATTATTTCATTTTAACAGTTAAAGACTTGAGTGTTAAGTCATGATTTATTGAAAACTAATACGCTTTATTTATGTTTCACACTGCATGACAGTAAAATAACATGTCCAATGTCCATCAACATTTTTGACACTTCGTAGAGCTGTCCAAATTTATAGTGTTTGAATCACTCAATACCAATACATACTTATTTGATAAAGATAATATTAGAAACTGTATTATTTTAAATTACGACAGATTTTTTAAAATTAAAACAGATTATTATCTTCAAATTTGGCAAAATAAGATTTTAAGTAGACATAAAACAATTTTTGCAATATTAGAAAGTGGCAACTAAACAAATTTCATAAATAGCAAATCCAAATTCCTTATACTTTTTAATTTAAAACTAAGTCGATAAAATATAGTACATCATATATCCGCCTTTACAAAAAAAAAAAAAAACAATTTAAGCATTCAAATTGATTAATTTTAATTAATGTATGTAAAAATCTTTATTACGTTACTTCAGTTACTATTTATTCAAGTGTATATAATAATGATATTTTATATAGATTCTTATTTCAAAGTTCTTTTCTAGTATGCAACTCATACCGATAAAATTATGAGGATTGCGCTAGTTTTATTTGCCCTACGGATTAGACCAAAATCAATGAGGGTTATAAAAACACCCAATAATGCCATTTATTTTTATAAAAAGCGTAAATATTTATTTTATATGGACCAAATTTGAAATATTTTATTATTAACCATGAATGTAATATAATATACAACCTACAAATAAAATAATATTCTAAAAGCTTTCTTTCTTATCGTACAAAATCTTAATGGTAGTCTACAGAATACACAGGGTGACTGGTGAATTACTATCGATATTTGAGGACGTGATATTTGACGATCTTATATGACAAAATAAAAATTAATATAACATAAATATTATTAAGCTTAGAAATTTGGTCCAAAATTAAGTACCTATTTTTTTTACATAATTCGAATGAGAATCATGTACCGAGTATTCTCCTTAAATATTGATAGTAATTCACCAGTCACCCTGTAGATTATAATTTTATTCTAACGATATATTTAAACTACAGGAATACTAGCAGTATTCGATTCATTCATATTTTCTTTGAGGCATTGCTTTACAATAAATTTAATATAATAGCCTTTTATGTTGTTAAGGATATTTTATTCGGTGAAAGTAATCTATACTAATATTATAAAGCTGAAGAGTTTGTTTGTTTGTTTGTTTGAAAGCGCTAATCTCCGAAACTACTGGTTCGAATTGAATAATTCTTTTTGTGTTGGATAGTCCAGTTATTGAGGAAGGCTTTGGGCTATATAACATCACGCTACGACCAATAGGAGCAAAGATATAGTCGTAAATGTGTATAAAACGGGAGAAATTATTTCATCTTTGAAGCTTTCCGTTGCGTGCGCCGTGAAAACGGTTCAAGATACACAAAAAATATGTATTAAAAAAAAGCTCTTTTAATGATCTAAAAAACAGTCCACGACAGTATATATCTATCTTTGAAGATTAACTCACAAAAACCGTTTTTATGATACCTAATTTGGTCGAAATAATTTGTTTAAGTTGTATCAACATAATAATATTAATCTTTATTCAAATAAACAAATAAATATGTTGGTGGCTAAGAGTACACTTCATTGTGAATAAAAAAAAATTAGGTTTTATCCTGAAAATTCTACGGGAACTCGACCATTCCAAAAACCCCGCAAGAACGGGAACTATGTGGGAAGAACCAAAAATCTGTCGGAAGTCACTATTCCACGCGGACGGAGTCGCGGCAAAAGCTAGTGTTACATAAAAAACGCAATTAAAGCGAATTCTACCGAACAAAAAATGTTTCAAAAAAGAGTTATTTTCTACACAAAGTCTGTAGTAACCTTTACATTATATTTTTGCTATTTAAACACATTTTCTAATATGATATTGACAAAATTTTGAAGAAATATTTTGAATGTAACGGCTGAGATGTTTTTTCAATAAATTTTAATAAATAGCAATTTTTTTTATATTATAGACGACCAATCATCTTACAAATAACGAATATTATCTTTACTGCTTCATTGCACTCTTTCCTCAGATTTTGGAATATTTTTACCATTTTTTAATAATAATTAATTATTATAACACTTTTAACATATTACATTTTTAATAATAGAACATTTAACTGTCTCGAGTATCAAACAACCAATTTGAAGAATTTCGTAGTTCGCTCACAATAAACAGTTTATAAAATAAGTCAGTATGAAAAATTCAACACTCCTAAAAACAATTTCCAAAATAAATAATATAACCATAAGAACATATCAGTTAATAGATTCGCTTTCGAATAAAACAACATGGTCATAAAATTCGAAGGTAAACAGCATTAGTAAGCGGGGTATGGAGCTATACAGTAGCTATACAAGACCGAATTCCAAAATTTTATTTCATACATTGTTAATGATCTCTAGTTTCAGTTAATAATATGTAATTTAATAACAAAATTCTATCAGGGGTTTAGGAATAAATAGTAATAGCAATTTTGTTTCAAATCTAAAAACAAATGTTTTATTGAAAACGTAGGCTATTCACCAGAAGTCTATTATTTTAATATAGTTCTGTATATACTTTGGAAGAACGGCGACGAAAATATTAACTTATTTAATTTAAAACAAACTTGACATCTGCTTTTGAAAATCTTACGTGACGTAGCTATATCGATCATTTGGGCTTTTTGTCCTCAGTGAAATTTTATTTAAAACTAGCTTTTGCCGCGACTTCGTCTGCGTGGAATAGTGACTTCCGGCAGATTTTTGGTTCTTCCCACATAGTTCCCGTTCTTGCGGGGTTTTCGGAATGGTCGAGTTCCCGTAGAATTTTTCAGGATAAAACCTATAGTTTTTTTTTAATTCACAATGAAGTACTCTTAACCAACAACATATTTATTTATTTATTTGAATAAAGATTAATATTATTATGTTGATACAACTTAACCAAATTATTTCGACCAAATTAGGTACCATAAAAACGGTTTTTGTGAGTTAATATTAAAAGATAGACATATGTATACTGTCGCGGACTGTTTTTTAGATCATTAAAAGAGCTATTATTCTTATATTTTTGTGTATCTTGAACCGTTTTCACGGCGCACGCAACGGAAGGCTTCAAAGATGAAATAATTTCTCCCGTTTTTTACACATTTACCACTATATCTTTGCTCCTATTGGTCGTAGCGTGATGTTATATAGCCCACAGCCTTCCTCGATAACTGGACTATCTAACACAAAAAGAATTATTCAATTCGAACCAGTAGTTTCGGAGATTAGCGCTTTCAAACAAACAAACTCTTCAGCTTTATAATATTAGTATAGATTTCGTAATGATAATACTAAATACCTTAAACGCACGTCAATAATGCTACAATTGAAAATTATATGTACTGTTAATTCAGTTAAATGATTAACTGTAAACGAACCTTTATAAATCAAATGTAAACTTCTTCTCTTTTTTTTTCATGAGCTTAAAGTAAATCTATATTTAGTTACCAAGTGTAATTTTATTTGCCTCTTCTATTATGGTGGACTAGTTTTAATTGCCATGTATTTAATATTTTACAATATTGATTGAGAGATACAATTTTTTTTTTCACTTTGCTAATCCCTAGGATTGAACAATTTTTTATTTAATCAATACTTTTTTTTATCTTAAACAGATCAGTATCAAAAATCGGGATGAAAGTTACTTAACATTTTGTAATTATTTATAAAAGTCAGGGTCCTCAGTGGTTGTAGACTTGTTGTAGACAGGTTGTAGACTCCTGCCTTAGTTATTTGATTACTAGTTGAATGTGTTGACAAGACTGACGAGGTTCATCCTTCCCCAAATGATAACATGAACAAGAGACTTTGCATGACTGTGATGAAACCTCAGAGTTTGATTTGCAACAAATTTCCATTGATAGTGAAGGCATTACATTTTGATTTGTCAACTTTCCATTTCAGATGCACCAAGTTCACTCTGTATGCCGTAGTTGTGGAGAAAAATTATGTCCAAATCCAGTTATATAGAGGACAATTAAGACCCTCGCCCATTCGTAAAGAATTGAATGTTCCGAGTTCTACCTTTGGTTGTTATTGGCATTCTTTAGGACCAGACTTCAATGTCCACCAAAAATCTATCTCACATGTAGTGGCTATCAATATCCATTATTATAAATTGTTATTTTGAACATGGGCTAGATCGATCACTTCTGTTTAAGACAAAGCACATATGAAACCTCTAAAAAAATTTTGTAGTGTGGTGGATTAAATTTTCCAATATATTTAATATGAATTCAAATCCTTAATTGATCATGCTATTTGTGATACTGTGTGGTATATCAGTGTAATAAAATAAAGTAAGTAAAAATTATGCACTCTCTCCACTTATCAAAATGATTTATATGTCAACTTACTACATTCTTGATCGTTGTTTTATGATAGTAATTCAATCTGGTTTATTATTAAATAAAAGATAAATTATTATTCCCTTGCATGTATCATTATGAATATTTGATTGTTTATATTTGTGTTTTTAGGTATACCTTCAGCAGTTGTAGAAAATAATACTATTTTTATTTACAAAAAGGAAACATTGTAAAGTGTATATAAATTTTTTTATTATGGTAGTATATATTTACATGAGATACTAGTTATCATTGGATGCCATGTGTCGTATTAAATTTGATATAAAGTTATCTATCTTTCTAACATCTTGTTGAACTTCTGTTTTGTACAGGAGACACTGAAACAGAAGTATGATCAACATTAAAAAAAAATAAAGTATATGAAGCAGAGATAAAATATTACAGGTGTAAAACATTACAATAACAATAATCATGTTTGAGTTAAAGTAATTCTTTTCACAAAAAAAAATATTACCTTTTTGTTGTCCGTAATTTTAACTATAACGATTCCTTTGGAATGTGAATATTTGAGACTATACCGAGTGTTAAGCGGATCACTTAAATATAACATTTCTGCTGATTTCTCAAAGTCTTCCCAGATCGTTATTAAAGTCATATTGGATGATAATAAATATATTAATATGTCCACTTAATCTGAAGTTAACTTTTTAAAGTAATTAAGGAATCGTTTTTATTATTTATATTCGGATAAAACTTATTAAACTTGAAGCGCAAGTAAAATTCACGATACATGAGTGCCTAATGCCCATTCAGTTTCGACGTTGACAATTTATTGAAATGTTGTCAATTGTCATTCATTAAATGGCAAATGTTTAATTTCAAGTTGACTGAACGTTCACTTTTTTAAGCTAGTTCCACATATTATGTATATTCATTTCTTCAATCATATCAGAAACTGCGAATTATAACCACGTTGGAATCATAATAATGTTATTATGCACATTTTTAATTTTTTTCTCATAATTTAGTATTTTCATGTCTATTGCTTTCTGTTAATCTAAGGTTTCATTAAATATGAAATCATAATCATACTGCAATATAAATATAACTTTTAAAAGGGTACTTTTCATTGACTGAGCCCAAATTTTTCTACAAAAGTAAGTTAAAGAAATGATTTTGTTCGATGGTTTTATTTTTTTTAACTACTAGCCAGTTTCTTTTTAAGATTTAGTTTAATAATATTCTTTAAGTCTGAATATCTATTATTAATTATTATTTTAAAAGTAGTATACATAAGTTTTTTGATTTAGATAAAATTTAAGATTCAAATAATTATAATAATATTATGAAATAGTTAATTGAATTTTGTTGCCATAACTAAATATTTACCCAGAGCATTTTGAGCGCAACCAACGAAGAAAATCAATACCGAAACAGTGATGTATTCATTCGTCTTTTTAAAATGAGAACATGACAAAACATTTCTTTTAATTCATCGAAGAAACTATTTTATTTTAAAAATATATCTGTTGAAGCTTGATGCTCATTTTTTATTTATTTACATAGTGATGAATATTCTCATAGTTACGGCGTGGTAGAACATTCTGCGTGTTTGAATCTCGCCCTTTCCACAAAATATTACTGTTAAAGGTTAGTAAAAGCTCTTTAAATTTATTTTTGAATCTATAATCTAATTACGGCATATTGAAATCGAATTTAAATGGACTATCGACCTTCGCCATTGTCTGCAGCGTGCATGGTGCATTGCGTTTATGATAGGTACTTCATTGTATGTATATAGTATGTAGATACCTTCAGATACTATAGATTTGATACATTTTTCTGTCTTTTTTGTATTTATTAATAACTCAGGCCGGTGTGTTAACAATTTATTACTGTTTGTTAATTTTGAAAATGATAAAACATTAGCTGTCAATATTTTTTGGACAATAATTTAACAGTTCTTAAATGTGTTAAACATTTCGAATAGTAATAATGATCTTATTTTAATAATTTTTGCGGTGTCAAATTCATCTTTATATATATTTTTTGTGAAAACAAAACCCGTTGTCTGAATGAAGTAACGTATTTTTCGCATACATAAAATAATAAGAAAAATTCAAGGGACTAGTCTATAAGTACTAATTCTTAAAAAAACATTTTATGGATTGAAAGAACTATATTTTAAGCTTTTTATATGACATAATAAACATCTAGAGTGATTATCATATTATTTTTTTTCAAATGTTTTGTAGCTACTAGTATAGGTATATTATACAGTCTGATATTAAATAATTTAAGGCATGAAAATGCATTCATTTTGCCTTAGTTTTTTCAGTATCAATATTATAAAGAATGTCTAGAAAAATAGGATAACAAGAAATAATTTTAACTGAATAGTTTTTTTTTCCAAAATTTACTGAACAAACCTCCAAAATTAACTTTATTTATGCTATTGCCTTCTTACTTTTTTTGTAATGTATATGTTTTATTACACTTTTGAAGAACTTTCTACGCCTAATATATTAAAAATCTCAAGAATGTGTTGTAATAGGATGATATAATAATTTTTTTGCAAGGCTTTTATCTTTTGTTTCAATAAATTTTTTGTACTATGAAAGTCTTGCTATAATTAAATAGGTTTTCCCGCACTATATTTTCGAAATTTTTAATATTTTTATAATCATTATTTGTGTTGTATGATGTTAAATTTCAACATTTAGAACATACTCTTGAATTTAAAGAAAAAAAGATTAAAATATTGTTCAAATTTATGTTAACAACTTCATTATTTTTTATGACAGTATTTTTATTATAAATGCACAATCATGCACTTTTGTATACAAGAATTCAAAATTTTCGATGGTCTCTTGAAAGAATGAAGAAATGAATATGACTTATAATTACAATAACTCGACAAATCAACTGTGCCATTTTTTGTTTGTCAAATGTTTAAAAGGTTCTTGTTTTTTATTATTATTATATGACCTGATAATTCATATATTAAAATATTTAATATTTTTTGATGGGTTCCTCCAATCCACAATACCATAATTATAATTCTTAATTTATATAAAATTTTGTTATTATGTAAAAAAAAAAATTGTATTTAACGTTACAACCAATTAGTATGACTTCAGAATTATACTAGTTTTATTACTTATCATTTTCCATAATGAAGTGCTTTGCATGATATAACATTTGTTATTGATATTTTATGTTTCATTTTTATACTATCTTGGGTAACAAATGGCATCAATATGCAAATTTCCATAAAAAATTATGATTAAAACACTCTTATGGAAGAGTAATTATAATTAAATACTGGTTATAATTAAATACTGGTTAAATTAAATACTATCATGGATTTCAATTGAAATGCATAAAAAGGAAAAAATCAATAAATAGATTTTTTTGTCATAATAAGGCAAACACTACCTTAACTAGCTTTTTTTAAATTGCCTATCGGTCCTATAGTATACTGTTACTTTTTTATAATAATACTAGCTTTCCGCCCGCAGCTTCGCCGCGTGGAGTTCGGTTATATCGCGTTTCCAAGAGAACCTTTCAAAAGTCTGAGATAAAAACTATCCTATGTTCTTTCTCAAGGTCAACTCTATCTCTGTACCGAATTTCATTAAAATCAGTTCAGTGGTTTAGGCGTGAAAGCGTAGCAGACAGACAGACAGACAGACAGACAGACAGAGTTACTTTCGCATTTATAATATTAGTAGGGATTTGATATATTTGATTTAAATTTTGTGATTATGTAAAAAGAGACAATGGTTTATTGCATAGTATTGAATTTTTTGTTTTTTCAGATTATTATTGTTGATTGAGGTCGAAAGTATACATTATACAACACTGTAATTATAAGTTAAAATGGAAGAAATTAATGGTGAGCTTTTTGGCGATGGTCTTGTTAGCCTTGGAGATGAGGGTTCATTGGAATCTACTGATACAGGAAAACAAGAACAAAATTGTAAACTTTGCGAGTGAGTTTCAATTTAGATTACCATACATACTTTATATATAATACCATATACAGGGTGACTGGTGAATTACTATCGATATTTGAGGACGTGATATTTGACGATCATATATGACAGAATAAAAATTACTATAACATAAATATTAATAAACTTCTAAGTAAAGTTAACCAAAAGTTATGTAATTAATTACGCATCGTGTGAACACCCTACAGATTAGGTATACTCACACACACATACGCGAGCGGCGGCGTGGTGTTGTATCAGCACGCCGCCGCACGCGTCCACACTTGGAACACTTGGAACGTGTCCACACTTTATTTATTTATATGGAAATTTGGTCAAAAATTAAGTGCCTATTTTTTTACATAATTCGAATGAGAATCATGTACCGAGTATTCTCCTTAAATATTGATAGTAACTCACCAGTCACCCTGTATATTTGGAGTAATTTTAAGTGTGAAAGTTTGAGTTAATAAACTAAAAATGTACGAGGGGAGGTCAATAAGTTCGCGGAATGAGCGGGAAGGGGGTTGAAATTTAACACGAAACTATTTTTCCTTTTCAATATAGTCTCCCTTAACCTTAATACATTTTTCGGATCTCACAAATAATTTATTAATACATTCGAAAAAAAATATTTATCTTGGCTATCAAAATAGGCCGAAATTGCGGACTTGACTTCTCAAATATTTTTCACCGCAGCTTTTTTTTCATTTTTGAAAACAAATAATAGTCGCTGGGGACTAAGTCTAGACTGTAAGGTGGGTGGTGTAGTTTTTCGAGTCCGCATCGGTGAATGGCAGCCGTCGCAACATGGCACGTGTGGACTGTTGCGTTGTCGTGCAAAAGGAGCACACCTTTTGACAGCTTTCCTCTTCTTTTTTCCTTGATAGCTTCTTTCAATCTATCTAATAAAGAAGCGTAGTACTGTCCCGTTATAGTCACACCACGATCTTTATAATTGATCAGCAAAATACCTTCTGTATTCCAAAAGACAGTCGCCATGATCTTTCCGGCCGATTGTGACACTTTAAACTTCTTTGGAGGAGCTGTGCCTTTTTTATGCCACTGTATCGATTCTTGCTTCGATTCAGGTTCATAGTGGTGAACCTAGGTTTCGTCACCAGTAAAAATCCGGTCCATAACTTCGTCCTTATTCTCTCCACAGAGCTTCAAAAACTGGCGAGAACACTCGACACGATCGCTCTTTTGAAGTGGCGTGAGCATTCTTGGAATCCATCTTGCACTGACCTTAGTCATCCCAATATAAGTTTTTCTACTTTTGCGACGATTTTCGGTGTGGTGGCCTCAATCGGTCGTCCGGAGCGGGCGTCATCTTCAATGGACTCTCTTCCTTGTTTAAAAAGTCCATGCCACTTGTAAACCATGGTTTTACCAGGGGCAGAGTCCGCGTAAACTGATAACAGCTCTTCAAAAATTATCTGAGCGGATTTTCCTTGCTTGGTGAGGAACTTAATAACGGCGCGGTGTTCAATTTTCTCCATACTCACTGACTTCTTCCCGATTCACTTGTTTGCAGGTCAACAACTCAAAAGTTAATGACCCGATTTGGTTCAAACTTGGTATATATACTATTAATGAGGTGTTGAACAAGTTACTACCTGGACGAGTAAATCAACCCCCTCCATCCCCTCCATTCCGCGAACTTTTTGACCTCCCCTCGTATGAATAACTCAAACAAATGCTGTTGGTACTATCAGTAAAAGGTTTTTAAACCCAGAACAAATTTATTTCTGTCTATAATAGATAATCATGAAAGCTTTGTAGAGATGTGGGAACCATTATAATAAATATACATATTTTGAATTGTGGGTTTTTGTTGTTTTTTTAATTAAAATGAAAATGATTTTAAATTTGAAAGTAATAAATAATTTAAGTTTTACGGCTAAAATATGTTATTTAAATTAATTTGTTTCTTTGATATCTCAAATTACAGCAATAAATTATGCAGTCCTCGGGTTTTGTCATGCCTTCATGTATTCTGTGAAGCATGTATTGACAAGTTAATGGTAAATGAGGCTGGGGATTCCCTCAAATATGATTTGGCTGTTGAATGCCCCCTATGCAAACAAGAAACTAAGGTGGTAATAATACATTTATTTAATAATTTTATTTCTCAATATTACTAAATTTTACTTATACTAAGTTACCTTAACGTAGATGCCAGGAGGAGGAGCTGCATCACTTCCATCAGATTATGTCCTAACTAACATCTTGGATGTCTCTGCCATGGATCAATCTGTGGTTTGCACCTGCTGTAAGAGTAAGGAACCTGCAGTTGCCAGATGCACTGATTGCTCGCATTTTTTGTGCTCGAACTGCAACTCCGCTCATGAATTTATGCGATGCTTTGAAAACCATCGCGTTGTTCCATTTGATGCGTTGAGATCTTCCAAAGAAAAGGCTGCCGTGCACAAGCCGATATTCTGTACTCGTCATGTTGGAGAAAGTCTTAAGTATTATTGTTGCGAGTGTGAAGTCGGTGCCTGCACAGAATGCCTGACAGTCGATCATAAAGTCGGAGAACACCGTTGCGAGCGGATTGTGGATGCTGAACCAAACTTACGTGCGGAATTGCGTAATTTCATTGTAGAGGCTAACGCTCGTGCCGATGCCGCTGGAAGCGCTTCGGCCAGGCTAGACGACGCATTGGGCGACTTACAACGTCAGAGGGATGATGCTGAAAGTGTCATCAATGAAGCTTACCATGCTTACAAAGCAGCCCTCGAAAGGCGTCGCGACAAAGCTCTAGAAGAACTTGAGCGTCTACACAAAGAGAGAGAGCTAAAAGTGATGGACTTGTTCGATCGCGTTGATAAGACTGTGCAGCGTATAGATTGCGCTTGCAAATTTGCAGCTCGACTTCTTCGAAGGGGTGATGGTACTGAAATTGTTATGTTAAAAAAGACCGTTGCTTCCCAATTTGCTCGGCTTTTGGAAGGGGCACCTGAATTTGACATCGATTACTCTCTCGAGTTTGTCACAAAGATGGATAAATTTGATGCCATCACAGAAGATACATTTGGCACATTCCGTACTGAAGCTACCCGCGCCGAAGAGAGAAAAAGAGCCAGCGAATCTTCGGCTATAGTATCTGTAGCTTCTAATTCTCATTCTCCTGCTGTGTCCGTGACAAATGCACCTGTCTTCGATGACTTCCCTCTTGGGAACGTTCGCCGGGTTACAGGAGGGGTTGGGAGTATGGTTGGAGTGGGCGTCCCTTCGATAGGGGTACCGGGAGTGGGACCGGTTACTGGCGTAGCTAACTCTGGAGTTCTTCCTGGGGTCGTTGGCGTCAACAGTGTGGGAGGAGTAGGTGGCGTCACAGGAGTGCCAGCTCTGCCTTCAATGGTTGAATATAACCTGCAACAACTTGCTAGCATTGCTGAAAAGGAAGTTCCCCCACCGCCGCATGCGTCGCCAGCGCCATCCTTCACACTCGCAGAACTACTAGCTGGCGATTTGAACTCTCCTCAAGCTTATAACAATTTACAAGCTCTAGCTAAGCTCGGACTCAATACTGGTAAGATTTTAACGCTTCATTATTATGAATGGGTAAAGAAACTTTGTAACCAATATTTCTTTTTTTACAGAAGTGAATGGATTTGGTGGGGTTGGTGGTGTTGGTGGCTTGGGCGGTGTAGGCCCCCGGGGAGTGTCTCCAGGTAGACCACTACTGACTGCTGCTGAGGAAGCAGCGTTGGTTGCACCTCCTGCTCCACTAGTTCGTGCAACTAAAGCAACACCGATGCACATAAGGTTCAAATTTGGTCAGCTAGGAGGTGGCAAGGGACAGTTTAATTCTCCCCACGGATTCTGTCTCGGAAACGACGAAGATATTATAGTGGCCGATACTAACAACCATCGCATCACGGTAATTATTGTTATTTTTAATTCGACTGAGATTTTATGAGCCTTATATAATAAGTGTAAACAATTTCAGGTCTTTGATAAATCTGGTACACACAAGTTTAATTTTGGTGTTGCTGGTAAAGAAGAGGGTCAACTTTGGTACCCACGAAAAGTAGCTGTAGTACGCGCTACTGGCAAGTTCGTGGTTTGTGATCGTGGGAATGAAAGATCACGAATGCAAATATTCACCAAAAATGGGCATTTCTTGAAGAAAATTGCTGTGAGTAATTTTTCATACAACATTTTCGATGTACTTTTCATATTTGACTAGAAATGTGTTTTGCTATTTATAAAGTAAAAGTATTTTATTGTTTCGAATCGATTAAACGAATAATGATTTATTTTACAGGTCCGATTTATCGATATCGTAGCTGGCTTGGCTGTGACGGCCGAAGGATTGATAGTGGCTGTCGACAGTGTTACTCCTACAGTGTTTATCTTATCTGAAGAAGGCGATCTCTTGAGTTGGTTTGATTGCAGTGAGTGCATGAGGGAACCTTCAGATATAGCCATAAGTGGTAAGAAAAAGAGCTAAGTTTTTTTTAGATAATTCTAAAGTCGTGTCACTTACTAAGATGTTAAATTTCATGTCATGACCCATAGATATGGTGTTCTTTACTGAATTTTATTATTGGCGTGAACAGAGATTTGACCTCATGCATATCCCACTCTAGGAGGGATGTAAGAGTGTAATTAATTTGTTTAAACGAATATCGAAATTTTCATATTCTGTTAGCAAAATAAATAATTATAAATTATTCACTTAAATAAATAGCTAATTCATATAAATTAAAAAATAGCCTTTTTAGAAATAATACTTAGTCTTATTGTCTTCTTAATCGAATCTTCTTACATACGAGTAGGTTTTTACACACATAAAAACATTTTCCGTCTATAACAAGAGGTTTGACGTGATTTTTTTTTTTATAATATGCAGCAAGTTGTACGGCTTAGTCACATTGACTGGAAGGCGAAGCTAGTAGCAGACGGTTGAATATGTATCTGTTTACTACTAATGGATGGCACTATTCCCAATTTAACAATGTAGGCTTAGCTATTTTATGTGTTGAGTATTAAAGGCTAATTTGCCAGTAAGGAGTGCAAAATGAGTGGATTTTTGTAACTAAATTTCTTTTAAAGTGTTAGGTTTTTGCTCTAGTTAATCTTGCAATCGTCAATCATTCCATTCTACGAACATTATACGTGCCAAAGTTTGTAAGGATGTATGTGAGAATATATGAATGTTTCATGTTTGATGCTCTTTCATGCAAAAACTGAAATGAAAATCGGTGAAGTCAATGAAAGTGAAAATGAATGAAAATGAAAGTCGGTGAAACGACACAGTTATATAGCTTAAAGAATAAGACAATAAAACAATAACTAAACAAAGCGTAACAATTGTATTGATTATGCAGTCAGGTCACACAGACTATCGATGTTGATACCGGTTAGTTACATACATCTATTGTGTTGATTTACTTTATCATTTCTCTCTGAACACAATTCTGAATTCCCGCAGACAAAGTAGGGCCAAAAATTTAAAGCAAGTTAATAATATATTATTATTCAATAGACATTCGTGACGTTTCAGGCAAGGAGTTCTACGTGTGCGACTTTAAGGGGCACTGCGTGGTCGTTTTCGACGACGAAGGTCGCTTCCTCCGTCGCATCGGCTGCGAGAACGTGACCAACTTCCCCAACGGCATCGACGTGTCTGATGCAGGCGACGTGCTCATTGGAGACTCACACGGCAACAAGTTCCACGTGGCTGTGTTCTCACGGGACGGAGTTTTGGTCACCGAGTTTGAGTGCCCTTACGTTAAGGTGATCAGATTAATACTATTATAATACTACTAGCTGCGCCCCGCGGTGTTACCCGCGGATATCCAAGATGTAAAGTAGCCTGTGTTATTCCTGGACGTCAGCTTCCTGTATACAAAATTTTATCAAAATCGCTTCAGCGGTTTGAGCGCGAAGAAGTAACAAACATACACACACACTCACAAACTATGGCAATTATTATATTAGTAGGATTTAAAGTGATTTCAACGTTAGGATTCACAATACTATATACTCCAAGGGCCATATCTGAAACTAAAAATTTTAATTAGTACCTTTTCTCTATTATGATTTACAAGATTATATCATAGTTTATTTAGATCTAACCCTTTCGCGAGTATTTATTGAAATAAAACTAATATTTTCGGATTTACAACGCGATTTTTATTATTTTAACTACATACTCCCGACGTTTCAGTTACTTTGCTAAAACCATTGTCACGACCAGGCAAGATTAGAATGAGGATGATTTTTTTTTTATCAGAGCTTAGTTATAATGATTTATTATATGGTTCTATTGCAGGTATCTCGCTGCTGCGGATTAAAGATAACATCTGAAGGATACATCGTCACTCTGGCTAAAAATAATCACCACGTTCTTGTCCTCAACACCCTTTACATTGTCTGAGGAATAACTCAATGGCTGTAAGTCTGCATACAACAAGATCTCACATTTATTCCCTATATTATTATATTTAATTGCTGATTTTACAAAGCTTAACCTTTTTGCTAAAACAGTATTTGACTACTTATTTTGTTGATTTGTGTTCATGATAGTCACATTTTATCCATTAGCAGTGAACAGTAGCAATTCCAACTTTCCTATTCCTTGTATCGTTTATTGTAGAAATTATTAATTGGATTTATTTCACTGCCAATGGATATATCGATCCCAAAGTACTAGATACTTGCGTTTTTGGTTTAATTCATTTCTCATTTTTTTTATATACTATGGTTGCATTTAGTTTTATAACAGACAATCCAAAGTTTAGGCTAATATTTCTATGTTTATATATTATGTTTATGTTCCAGTTAATATACATGTGGAAAAGATAAAAAAAAATACCTCTGATTGAAGATCTAATATATTTAGCAGTGTAATGTTAAAAATTATAAAATTTTAAAAATTTGTTTATATATATGGGGTCTAAACAAAATTTTGGCAACGAATAGTATTGGAAGGACATAATTTTGATGCTTAATATAATTGATCTCTAATTAAGGTTTCATGCATGTTATCGGCTGGAATTCGTTTTTGTTTCTAAATTTAGCAGTTGGTATGGTTCCTAGTTCGAGTGAAGTTGATAATACATGTCAATTAGGGGTCTGCGTGGGAGTGTCGCCTCACTAGACTTGCATTACTCCAATTTCCACACAAAATTTCTGTCTGCAGAGTATATTATTGGCTATGTTCATAATCTCTGATAGGCAGCCATGTCAAAACGCACAATTGAGTTATTGTTAGCAAAATCTTTTTTTTTTTATTACCGTGACCAAAGAGGCGACACTATTATAACGTGCCATCTAGTTTAGGTTAATCGCGTATACAATATTATATATTGTCCGTTAAAATATATTTACCATTTACAGATTTCTTGTGTCTATACAAAATGTTTTTTCCATGTACTCTTGTTTTAAGAGCCTATATTGAAACTTTTTCATTATTAGGCTATTAATAATGATATATACGGTTTGGTTAATTTAAAATTATCTGATGCTAATTATATTAAATACCACTGTTACTAAAGTTTTAAATAATTTTTGTACTGATAATTAATAATTTAAAGAATTTTTAAACGTTACTGTTTATGTGGCATCTTCGTGAAAGCGGTGGAAATTGGCATTGATGTATTACGGGTAAAAAAGTCACAAAAATATATATAACAACAAGAGCAAAGAAATTGCGCATTTATAAAAAAGTATAATCCATGAAAGTGCCATTATAAACAAATTTTATTTCTACAATATGTTTAAATTCGTATACAGTTCGCCAAAGTAAATATTTTTATATCTATCCACATTTAATCAAAATTGAGATTCGTAAAGTTTTAGATAGTAGAACGAAAAAAAAAAATGTTAAAAATTGTGGTTAGTAGAGTAATATTAATATCATAACGATTTCGCTTACAATTTTATTTGTTTCTATCTCATTTAGACTTTACGTACATGTGTGGTAAAAAAAAGTATATCGAAAATCTATTTAAGGATAATATTAAAAAAATAATCATCTGGCTTTCTAATTAGTAATGCTTCACATTAATTTGTCGTTAGTCAAATTCTAACGTATGATAAACCTGTATTATTAAATTATTTTCTTCATCAAGCAAAAGTACTTAACCAGACCACCTAAAATTGAATGTGATATTTATTTTTAATTCGTTATACATCGCTCTCTAATTATTCTGGAAATATCTAAAACTTAAAAGACAAAAAAGAATCTTACTTCGAATTATCAGTTATTGAACAATTTCAGTTCCTCAATTCCTATATAGGTCGTTAAGTTTATACAAGACGTTTAATTTTAATTTATACAACCATGAACCAAAACGAAGGTGTATCACTGAGCCATATATAAAATTATCTATTATTTATTTGTATTTGCAATTCATAAGTAGTCGTGTAAACTAAAGTATGTACTTAATTAGTGGTATTTGTTTTTTTTTTTGTAAATTGTTGTGTATTGGAACATTTCTAAAATATTTGCAACAATGTGATATAAGCAATAATAGAGAGACAATTTGAATTTCGAATGGAAGACTTCAACCAATCAGGGCAGGTTTTGTTGTGAAGGTATTAAAGAGTACGGTGGCGACATCTGAACGCCGCTCAGTATTCAGTACTATGAGGATGGGTGGTTATATAAAAATTAACGTTGAGTCTTGAATATCCTCTATTTATTAGTGAGTAACTTTTGGGTTTATTTTTCTTATTGTTTTTAAGTTATTTGTTTCAGGATTTTTGTCCCGATAGTATTAGGGAATTTTATTTTCTTTTATTTTTTTTATTAGGCTATAAATGAGTCTACATCCCCTTGGTAGATGATAGGTGTCATTAATACTCTTGTTTGTTCATTAATTTGTTTTTTTTTATATGTTCCGGGCCTATATTTGTAGTATTTTTGGCCAGTGCGATAGGCCTTTAGAGTTACGAATTTTTACTGCCAAATTATTTTCTTACGATATTTGTGCATGCACATGGTAATTATTTTATTGTATAATAATATATGTAAATTTAGTTACTAATTGTTGCCATTTTTTTTTTGTTTTATTAATATTCAGGGTTTTAATATTATTATAATGTTCGATTTTTATTTGTTGGCCATTGATCAAAATTATTGTGTGTTAGTGACGTAAAATTAACCGAAATAGAAGTTATAAGCCCCAAAGGGAGCGTTTGACGCTATTAATAAATATTGCTTAGGGTTGCATAAAATTATTAAAAGTGGTGTGATAAGTTTTGGATAATTTTACAAATTATACTATTTTATGTGTGAATTTCAATATTAATAAATTTGAAGTTTTAAAAAATGTGTAATTTATCGAACGATCCACTGGCTTTATTATTTGGCCGTACGATCGAAAGTATTATAATTTGTATATTAATATTATTTATCCTTATACTTAATTTGGTGATATATCGTTGACAAGGTTTCCTTTTGTTCTTGCCATGTATCTTATGTAGGTGTTGGCGTAGAAGTTTAGTAGAAGTTAGTATTTTTCAAATGATATACAATAAAATGAAAATACAGTATGGTGTGTTTGCCTCTCGTGGTGTTGTTAGATGATGTTAGATGTTGTTAGAGAGACGGTAGAGGGAGTAGCGGGGAGTCGGACGGAGGAGGAGGAGGGAGAGGGAGGGTAGGGAGGGGGTCGTTGGCCGTTATTGGTCGCAACCACCAGCTGTACATTCTTGCTGTAGCAAGTAAGCAGTAAGCACTTAGTCATGGGGTAATGGCAGGTCAAATGGTATCTATTGTCCATTGACATTACTTGATAATAATTGTATCATTAGAGTACATTACAGTAGCCTTTCTCGGGAATCTTAAAAGTTACCTATATACACTTTAAAGCAATTTTTTGGTAAATATATTTCTCTTGAATCTATATTCCCTTATGTATCCAGCAATAAATTACTTCAGTAGATGTAGCTATTGCATAGCTTGGCACTAGGTATGGCGTTGTCGGTGGTTTTCCAATGCCGTTACCGTATTGGTTTATGGGAGAGGGATGGCTTCGTTGCCGCAGTAACGTTTAGTGCCAAGCGATGCGATGTTAGTAGGGTTCGCAGCGCACAAGGTGAGCTCTCATGTTACCCTCCCTATTGGAGGTGGGCGTTTTGCCTAAGATATGGCACCAAGCACAGCTCGATGGTTTTGATGGGAGTTTGTGGCGAGTGTAACATAACACTATAAGGACCGTCTTCATGTGACTGTGGGTGGGGTTGGCCAATTTTACTTTACCGTTAACGCCTTCGGTCTGGTTAGGGCACAGTTACGCTGATCACCTGCTTGCCTGACAAGTATAGTGATCAAATATAATAGTGGATGTTCTTTTAATTGTCATCGCTGCTTGGGGCAGTTTTGGTATGAAAAAGATAACCCGAACTTATATAGCGAGTATATTGTTCACATACTATGATAACGTATAGTTGTTAGCATGTTTAAAGTAAATTAGATTCTTCACCCACCTTCTATCACCGAATTTATTTGGTCTCCGCTGTTCAAAAACCAACATTTAAGGTTGTGAGCTCTATATTCCGGACGGAATTCTAAGCCACAGAGTGCTTGTGCAATAAATATCACAGTTTGGATCTAGGCTTTTAAATTATTATAGATTATATACATTGTTGAGCTGATTATAAAAATTTAATATATTATTATACCTTTTAATATTGTTAAAGAATTCTAATTGCATTCCACATCTAGAGTGAACGAATTTGAGAAGACCATTTTCAATCTACATTATACAAGTTATTTTTTTTACAATTGTAGGATTATTAGCAGTTGCCAATGTTTTTTCCTTTAGTCAGTAAAAGTACAAATATTTTAATATACAATTCTTGGTATTTACGTATTGTAATATCTTTTTTTAATTCATTTGATTCTATAACTATAAGCATAATTTTTTTCACGTTTATGGCCATTCATATATTACCATCACGCAAATTATTCAGTAAAACAAAACATATCATAACTAATCCATGTATCTCACAATACGCCATCTGTAGACAGACGTGTACCTTAAAAGTATATTTATTTAGTGCTGTGATTTTCCATTTTATTTTTCAATCGGATTTCTTGAAATCCACATTGGGAGTGATACATCTGCACCAATGCACGCCCCCATTACTTTGCTTACATTTGTCGTAATGTGAGAGCGGTTTTTGTTTCATTTGAAAAAAAAATTCAAACATCTGTGTTTCTACTCGGTTTAGATATACGTTTAAAATGGCTTTTGTTTTTAAATTAGATTTAAGTATATCCTAGGTTACACTTTTTTAATTTCTTGTCATTTCTATGTTTACACAATTGAAATTTATTGTATGTAATTTTGTGTTTGTGTGGAAGGTGCATGTTCCAAATGCATATTTTAATTTTGATCCAAAGATTTCTTTTAATGTTTTTAATTTAATTAGGTAGTTATTTTTTATTCTTCTTGATAACGAAAATGACATTTGTGGAGTGTGCATTGGTATTTGATATTAGAATATAAAGAATTTTTTCTGTAGATTTGGTGCAGCCGAGCAAATGTCTACTATATTCTCATAAGAATATATTTGCTCAATAATTTTATTCTGTTAAAGTATTTTAAACTTAGGTGTAGTCCACGTGGGGTGTACGAATAGTGGACATCAGTGACACAAAAAAATAATAATAATATATCTAACAGACAATACCCTCCGTAAAGTTGAAAAAAAATGTAAGGTTAAAAGTTTTATTAGATGTAGTTGCCTTGTATGCGGCTTGCCCTAAAGATGGGTGGCCGGGGCTACGGAAGCATCCAACACCTGGGAAGTCAGGCTCTGAAAGCATTATTCTAAGCTGCTACATTCCACCATTCCAAAGCTGTTCCTGATTATTCCGGTCCAGTCGTTCTGTTTTAATGTTTTTATTAATATATTACGAACAATTTTACCAATTTGTTAGCAGTGTTAGATAATGACTTCAGTACGTGTTGTGTGATGGTGTTGACTATTATATTATACTATTTTGCCCCCACAGTCAACGAAAATATTGTTATCCATACAGGAGTCTTTGCTGCATTGTGCCTAGATCTTAGAAGTTAATAACGAGGTAGAGTTAATCTCAAAATATTTTGGCTCTTTGAATATTCCATGATATTATTTTTGTTTTTCATGAAAATGTATTTACATTATTATACATTCATACACTTAGTAATTATTGTATACATGAATATACATTGCGTAGTTTGTAACTTGATTTTATTGTAAAAATTAAGATGCCCAACTAGTTGATGGTTGCCCACGCGTTCGGGAGGAATTGATTGTTGCTACTACATTGAAAATAACATACTATAATCTCGTGGACACATTGATTTTTTAAATTAGTTGCACATCTTATTTTGACCAAATTTATTACAAGGCCGCCGATGTTACTTGAGAATTTGAACAGCTGATATATTAAAGGATACATATATCCCTTTTATAGGCGAATGGAAATTGTCATGTGACGTTTGCGGCTGTATAATTATTAAGTTTATTATCTATCGAGAACTGTGGCCAGGATAACAACAGCACAGAGCAGTGTAATTCAGAGCCTGCCTAAAATATATTTTTGTCATGATTTTATTTAGGTATATACATGTTATTATTCACATATTACAGTTTTCTCAATATTAGCTTGTATTTTTAATTAAGAAATAATCATATTTAACATTGCCAGGTGATCAGCAACCTGCACTTTAATATTTTTGGAAACTATTGAACTTAAATTGTACTGACTTTATAAATATATTTACTTCAATAAAGATTTTCCATGCCACTAGAAGGTGTTATTTATTTATGTCCCATTCAGAGATAGACAAAAAAGACAAATATTATAAAAAGGTATATTTATTTTTAAGTATATATAATAAAGCACTTTGTGCATTGTAAAATTTGGAAAATAAATGGTGTAAATTTATCACAATAAAAATAAAATATATGCATGTCGCTTGTAATGGTAACCGTAAATTACTTAATACTAAGATTTAAGAAGATCGGTAGACGCATTCGCCAGCAATCCAAGTGGATAAAACTTTCAGAGATTTCGGATGTAAGATGACGAAATCGGCGTCAAAACCGAAATTCAATTTGCCCTTCCTATCATCTATTCCCAAAGCCTTAGCTGGATGCAGAGTTGCTGCTTCTATAGCGTATTCCAATGAACATTCTGTAAAAACATATAAACATTCATAATATTGTTTGAGTAAAATAACTAAAATCAAATATCTCGAATGTCTTTACTTGTGATAAAGAATAAGTAAATTGAAAAGTTAAGCTCACAGAATGTTGAATGTTCTATTAAAAGAGTGATTGTCATGTACATTATTATTATTAACAAGAACTTTTTGAAAGTAGGTTAAAAAGTGAGTTGTTAGTGCACTTTTTATTCATAATGATTTGTTGAAAGTTCAAAATTCAGCATAAATTTTCTACAAGAGTATGGAATTCAAAGGTATGGTAGCTTCACCAAAGAAAATTAGCACTCCAAACTTTAACGTTGCGAACTTTTTCTACGTTAGCTATGAGTGATATGAAATTAATTAAAAGTTTATGTACCTGTGGCTTCTTTGAATGTTTTTATTGACTGGTCTAGGGCAGTAGTGCTGCCACAGAGAGTTTTTGTTCCAGCGACATATGCGCGGCCTTCATTGACATTCACAGCTTGCGGTCCGATGCGATATGCACCATCTGGTAGACCTTGGGCCGCTACAGCATCACTCACTAATATCAAACCTGTAAATAGAGACATATAATTTCCCTGAATTCATCAGAACAATATCATTAACTAAAATGGAAAGTTACTTATTAAATATTTTATACATAAATTGTTATAATATGTGTATAGGTATGTTATAACACTTATCAGTAATTAATAAAAAATATTTTTTTATATTTTTTATTACTTTCGGCTTACAAATTTATATTCTTGGCATACTAATAATATAAAAACATATGTAAGCCTATTTATCATACCTTCTTGATTAGTTCGACAAGCAATTCTCAGAGCCGCAGGATGAGTGTGAATGCCATCTGATATTATCCCATAGTAAACTTGTCTGTCAGTCTTGGAAGCAAGTAAGCCCACCAAACCAGGGTCACGATGATGAAACTAGAAATCATGAAAATAGTTACATCAATGAATTATTTGCAATGTACTTGTGTAAAAAAGTATGTATAAATGTATATTAAAATGTGTCTACAATAGTTGTAGATACGTTTTAAAATATACAAATTATCACTGTGGTTGCAAAAATATATTAATATGTAATAGGTATATACAATAAACATACATATAGGTTGTGGTTTTAGGTAATATTTTTTTTACTTACTGGAAGCATTGCATTGAATAAGTGTGTTATTAGGTTTGCTCCATTTTTAATGCCTTCTTCACCTTGAGCAAGGCTAGCAGATGAATGTCCAAGGGCCACTTTTATGCCCATGTTTGATAATCCTCTGATAGCATCCAAAGCACCGGGCAATTCTGGGGCTATTGTAACTAAAATTACATTGTCTAAAGATCCATACACCTCTTTAATTGATTCGAGCCCCTGAAATTATAAATCATTCATATATTTTATGTGAACAATGCCTTATATTTTTTAACACTGCTTATAACAATATTGTTTGTGTTTCTGCCAATTGATAAAGAGTTCAATCTCGCATATATTTATCCAATACAATAAAACTAGGTCATTGATAAATTCTTACCAGATAATAAATATATCAATAGTAAACATAATTTATTTAACATAATTTTGCAGAGCCTTTCTAATACTGTAATTTTTAAATAAAATCTAACAATAAAGTTAGTCAGCTATCTACATAAGTAAATTACCTTTTCAGGATTCAAAATATATTCATCTTTGTGTGCACCCTTTTTTGCTAAACTAATAAATGGACCTTCGAGATGCACTCCAAGAACCGTGGCTCCATGTTCCCCTCCTTGCCTTTTTTGTATTTTGGGTAAAATATTAGAATATTTTTCTTTCTCAGATGTAACCATAGTTGGACAGAATGAGGTCACTCCATGAGCCAACAGCTGTTTTGATACTTTCTTTACCCCTTCTTCAACATTTTCTGAATCATAGGAAAAATCTACACCCCATCCACCTGTATGCCATAAAGTGAAGAAATTAAAAAAATATTTTTTTATTATTATTTTTTTTGGAATGACCTTAATAATTGGAGACAATAGAAAAGACATTTAATACTATTGATTTTTATATTTAAAGCGCGAGGAAAAGTATAGAAATAGTAAAACATATTTTTATTTAAATCAACCACCACCTACCATTTATTTGAATGTCTATAAATCCTGGCACTATGAGAGAGTCTTCGCTATTTACCGTTATGTCAGCTTCTTCTTGTTCTACATAAAATACCTGTTCGGGGTTTGCAATTTTTCCATTGCGTATCCATAAATCTTCTTTTATAATTTTTCCGTCACGCAAAATAAAACAATTGGAAAATCTTGTTAACCCCGATTTTGCCTTCATGGTAATAGTTAAAATTTGTAATAAATCAATTTTTTTAAATAAATCACAAAATAATAAAATTAATTGCAAAACACTTTCAAATAATATTAAGTAATTGTAACACTTTATAAGTGATAGTTATCTTTTTAAAATTATGATTTTAAATGCCACAAACACCGAAGTATTCGTGCGTTTGTACTTAAAGCTAGTTATTAACTATTCTGTGACCTATGGGCTATGTTTACGAAACAACGCAACTGATCTTTTGACGTTGACAAAAAGAAACTGTCACATAAAAAAATGTCAAAAAAACAGAACTTTTTTATAAGTTTAGAAATATGTTTTAAAATGTCATTAAATATTTATACTAATTTTAGGAAGCATGAGATTAATAATTGAAATAATAAAAAAGTAAGATAGTATAAAGTCTACTTCTTATTTAACTAGAAGGTCAACAGATAGAAGAGAAAATAAAAAGTAACTGTTTTTATCAAAATAAATACCTGTCTCTAATGACAATAAAACAATGTAAGTGAAATATGTTTTTACTTCTGTTTTGATTTATATTTTAAATGGGTAAGTAAATTTTATATCTGAATGTGAGACATGTGTCATTGTAAAATTTTATTAAGATGCGGATCGTAGGACTACAACAGACTGGCGAAAATGGAAACACGTCAGAGGTAATGTTCGTCTAAAGACTAAAATACCACTAAGAGTAAAGAGAAAAGTAGAGGTATACAACAGTCGTTAGGCCATCTACGCTTTATGGCTCTCAGTGTTAGGTTTCTGTGTACAAATTAATTTGGACATCATTATATTATGTTGGACATTTTCTAAATGTAAATTCAATTTCAAAGAAAACTTTAAACCTTTATCTATAAATCTTGAGTAAGTCAATGGCGATTCTTACTAACAAATCCAGAGTGCATTTGCAAAACTTACCTAACCTAGACAAAGATTCTGTTCAGAAGAAAGATGTTTAGAGTCTTAGAACAAGTAATTGGCCATAAATCATTCGATAATACATTTATATTTTTATATCAATGTCCTTTATACCCAAATAGTTAATTGACAATCTTGTACAATTTTATTCTATTAACGATTAATCCCTATCCAGATTTACTTACTTCGATTAAGGAAAATGTAAGAAGGGCATTACAATTTTACAAAAAATAAGAATAAACTTATGAAAATTTGCCTCTAATAAGATGTTTAATAACTCAATAGACACGTGTACAAAAATACTTTTTGCCACTTTGGAAACATCTTTATGGACCTATACCTAAAAGTCAGACATTGTCCATTTGTTAGCCATGGATGGAATTAATGATTCTTATGGTTTTGATTAAAATTTATTATGTTTATAACCAAAATTGTTTTCATTCATTATAGACATCTTGCATAATATATTGCACGATATTGTGCTTTCTATTACAGATTGATGTTGAAGTGCTTCACTTTAAGTATGAGAGTCGGAAAGCCAACAGGTATAACATATATGCACTACAAGTATGTATCGTTATTTTAAGTCCGAACTCCGAAGTGTTTCCAGTTAATCTTTGATCTTCTTCACACATGGTACTATCGTTATATGTAGGTTTGTAAATGAGTTTTTTAAACATAAAATGCAAAACTTATTTGATAGGTGTTGATGATGTATGTTGAAAAAAGTCAATGTTTATGAAAACTATTAAGACTCGAACATACTATTAAATATTTATTTTATTTTAGACTTAATTGCAAAAAAGTCTTACTTGTAATGACAATTCTTTAACGACTCAAACGGTACGCTACGATTTATACTTACGTTTGAAAATACTGAGATAGACGTACTTTAATGGAAACGATCATAAGGACTACAAAAAGTCCGTCGAGTAGGGTTAAGTGGCCCCCAGATACTTCTCTGAGCGGCCTCCTTTGTAAAGACCGACCTATAAGCAAATATCACCATGAAGGTGAAGGCCTGTTTTTGACTCAGAACAACCATTTGGACCTTTCTTAGACCTCAACAATATGAATCTTCATTTCACGTGCTTAGTAAATATAAAACAGAAACACATGATTTTCCTTTATTAATATTTAATTTTGTAAAACAGTGTTATTTCCATATCGATTGAAGTTCAATATTTAAGTAAATAATTATATTACCTACTTATTATAATTTATAAATAAAGAGATGCTTATTATACGTATTGTTTGCGAAATGGATCTGACCACCAAAATATTTCATAAAATAATAAATCAATTATTTATGACGCATTGTATGCATTGATGAAGTATTTTATAAATATTTTATGCGAAAAGTTTATATACGGACACGTGTACAGAAAAATATATTGAATTTCTAGGTATTATATGTTTATATACTTAATTGCTATCTTATTTTTATTTCAATCTATGATTAAAATACATATATAACACTGAAGCCCAGGTGACAAATATTTTGCACATTTTATGTTTTAAGACATGTTGTTTGACTTGTAGTTTGCATTTTTTTTAAAAATACACATAAATCTTCACTGACGCCTCCGTGTATGTGGATTTAGATGAACTTAGACTATTGCTTCTCAAGTTAGACGATTTTTAATGATATTTTGTATAAGTATATCAAATCGTGCTCTCATCAAGAAAATATACATTAAACAGCTGTAAAATATATCTAAGGTTTAATCTCTAGTGCTTACGATCGTAGCTGGTAATTAAGCAAATTAAATTTACGATCGAGTGCCAAGATCCTTTGTTTGAAACATCGTATCTTCCCTATTGTCGGCATTAAAATTGTTTTCATTTACCTCGAAAGTATCAAAGTAACATTTATTTGTGACATAATATTAATATTTCGATATTTCCATTAAGTCTTTGTTTCTAAAAACATCTATTTATCTCCCTTCATATAAATATTTCACTTCATAGAGGACTTTTATAAATGAAATAAAATAAAAAGAAATATTCATAGCTCTAGATGGTAATGTATTTATTTGACAGCTTTTGTTTTATACTTTAATGTAACATTTATTGAGAAATTTTTGATCCTCAATACAAAATTTATTTGGTTTTATGGAAAATAAAAAAAAACTCTACAATTTTTTTTCATATTTAAGTAAAAGTACGATAAGATAGTCCTAGAGGAATATATGTAACTAAGATAAAAATATTGCTCACTTCAAACAAACATTTATTTAATACAAATATACTCATACCTTTTTCCTAGTAATACATTACTATCAAGTCAGCAGTAAGAATCTTAGAATAACATTTTCCTTTGAATTTATATGCAAACAATGAAATCCCAGCATTAATATGCACCAATATCATTACGATATATCTAATTTAAATATCAGACCATATGTATTCGAACTAAACAACTTAGAGAATTAAAAGTAAATAGTGTGTTATGGAAAATACGTTTGCAAAAAGCAGTGCGTTTATTTGTTGAGTAAAAATACAGTTTATTTTGCTTCGAAAGCTTGTTTAAAAAGCCTTTTGTTATAAATTGGCTATCGACAAAATTACTAGGCTTATTCATATATACATATATTCCATAGGGGTTTTTAATATATAGAGTGGTATAAAGAGATAAACATCATACTTTTAGGGATCAGAGTCAGAAACTTGGTGCTGGACTCTGATATAAAAGTCATCCAAGTTTCTCCATTCTGAGATTTTCACGGCTTAAAGTTCTTGAGGATCGGTCTGAGATGCATCCAAGCTGTACTGATGTTATTTTGCACGGTCTCTAAAGATAAAATGATCTCACTACTTTTTAGATCAATACTTTTGATTGTGTATATATAACATGTTTGGTTAATATATGTAATTAATTTCTTAACATTGCTTTAAGAAGGACAAGATAAAGCCATATAAATAAGGCAACGAAACTCAAATATTTTTTATACAATTCTGATATAAATATAGTCCCAAATATTGAGGTCAATAAATCCAGCTTTAAAAAAAAGTTGTCCTGGCATAGAGTTTACACGCCCGCCTCTCATGCATGAGGGTGCGGGTTCGAAATCTGGCAAGTACCAATATGATTTTTCCTAGTCATATGTATTTATTTTTTAAAAGTATTTAGATACCACTGACAGACGGTGAAGGCATACAACGTGAGGTAACCTGATCTTATAATTTCAAACTTGAAAGTCTAAGTTTGAAATCGCCAACCCGCCTTGAGCAAGGTGATTGGTGATTAAGGCTCTCACCTTCTCCATGTGAGAAGAGGTCTTTGCTTCTGTCAGTAAAGCAAGAAGGAAAGACCCCGACAAAGAAAATAGAAATAGGCAGTATTATTTTATGAAAACCAGCCTAAGTCTGTCTTCTAAATAATTTCCTTATCTTAATTACATCTTCATATTACAAATCTTTAAGTAGTTGTAAAATATTAATAAATTATAAAAAATTACTTTTTACTATCACTTTTCTACAAACTTAATACCTTAACAAAGCCTGCTTTCTTTTCAAAGGTTATTTATAAGTTCATGTATCAATACGTCATGGCACAATAGAAGATCCTTCTTCTAAGTAACAAACATAAGATCATTTCCATTTTAATAAGTTTATTTTTGCAAAGCGTACACATAAGGAAAACATATTTAAAACAAGTTGAACTCTTTTAGCAAAAAGGCTTTTGATTACAAAAGACACATAAGATTAATCAGTTCAGTGAGATTAATAAGTTACTTTAACTGCGGATTAAATTATAATTCATATCTTCAATTCATTCGGACTTCCGACTGAAACACATATTCAATCCGTCCCAAAATCGTTAGTGCCTTCAATTGTCTTGATTAGTGTTTGCATTTGTCCCTAATAGAGCATCAAGATAGCTTAGTAGTGGTGCGGCTGCGCGGTCGACAGATTGTATAGGATTCGTACGACTGTAGCCCAGCTTCAGTCTGCCACTCGCAACGGCTACGGGAGTTGTTGACTTCACTCGCTAAGATTGTGACTCGCGTAATGTTCACAGCATTCAATTAGTGTTAAATTGTGACATAAATATTTTGAAAGTGAACTTTGTT